GGCGGAGCCCCAGGGGGGGATGAGGTTCCTCCTGGGTATCTCAAGGCTATGGATGTTGTAGGGCTGTCGTGGTTGACACGTCTCTGCAACATTGCGTGGTCATCAGGGGCAGCTCCTGTGGAGTGGCAGACCGGGGTGGTGGTCCCCATCTTTAAGAAGGGTGACCTGAGGGTGTGTTCCAACTATAGGGGGATCACACTCCTCAGCCTCCCTGGAAAGGTCTACGCCAAGGTACTGGAGAGGAGGGTCCGATCGATAGTTGAAACTCAGATTGAGGAGGAGCAATGTGGTTTTCGTCCTGGCCGTGGAACTGTGGACCAGCTCTATACCCTTGCAAGGGTGATGGAGGGGGCATGGGAGTTTGCCCAACCAATCCACATGTGCTTTGTGGATTTGGAGAAGGCTTATGACCGTGTCCCCAGGGGCACCCTGTGGGGATGCTCCAGGAGTATGGGGTGGGTGGCTTTCTGTTAAGGGCCATTCAGTCCCTTTACCAGAGGAGCGTGAGTTTGGTCCGCATAGCCGGTAGTAAGTCGGACCTGTTCCCGGTGAGGGTTGGACTCCGCCAGGGCTGCCCTTTGTCACCGGTTCTGTTCATTTATGGACAGAAGTTCTAGGCGCAGCCGTGGTGTGGAGTGTGTCGAGTTTGGTGGCAGGAGAATCTCGTCTCTGCTTTTTGCGGATGATGTGGTCCTCCTAGCTTCATCCAGCTCTGACCTTCAGCTCTTGCTGGGTAGGTTCGCGGCCGAGTGTGAAGCGGCTGGGATGAGGATCAGCACCTCCAAATCTGAGACCACGGTTCTCGACCGGAAAAGGGTGGCTTGCCAACTCCGGGTCGGGGGAGAGGTCATACCTCAAGTGGAGGAGTTTAAAGAGCAAGTCACCCCCAAATCAACTTTATTTTCTGATAAACTATATAAATGTGTGTGTCTAATCATGCTGCAGACACGTGTAGTCAGTAGTTTTACACTTTAGTGCATTTTAGTTAAAATTTTAATTTTCTGCCTGAAACTGGCAGTGTTGTGCCGTTGTCAGGTAAAAACTCAGCACTGCATTAGAATTTAAATCTGTCACCGCTATTGGCTAAGAGGTATGCTATGATGTCAACTGGTCCTTATGATGTCACAATGCCATTGTGAGCCTGTGTGTGTGTGTATTTGTTAGCGGCGCCGCCCTCTCGGTCTGCCAGGCAACAGCATTTGTTGCATTTTTCAAACATGAAGAGGGAGTGAAGTAAGTTTCTTGTAGGGGGTGACTTGCTCTTTAAGTATCTCGGGGTCTTGTTCACGAGTGAGGGTAGGAGGGATCGGGAGATCGACAGGCGGATTGGTTCGGCGTCTGCAGTGATGCGGACGCTGAGCTGATCTGTCGTGGTGAAGAGGGAGCTGAGCCAGAAAGCCAGGCTCTCGATTTACCGGTCGATCTACGTCCCAATCCTCACCTATGGTCATGAGCTTTGGGTAATGACCGAAAGAACGAGATCGCGGATACAAGCGGCCGAAATGAGTTTCCTCCGTAGGGTGGCCGGGCTCAGCCTTAGAGATAGGGTGAGGAGCTCGGACATTCGGGAGGGACTCGGAGTAGAGCCGCTGCTCCTCCGGATCGAAAGGAGCCAGTTGAGGTGGTTTGGGCATCTGGTCAGGATGCCTCCTGGATGCCTCCCTGGGGAGGTGTTTCGGGCATGTCCTGCTGGCAGGAGGCCCCCGGGTCAACCCAGGACACGTTGGAGAGGTTACATCTCCAATCTGGTCCGGGAACGCCTCGGGGTCCTGCCGGAGGAGCTGGTGGAGGTGGCCGGGGAGAGGGCGGTCTGGAGCTCCCTAGTTGGGATGCTGCCACCGCGACCCGGACCCGGATAAGCGGAGGAAGACGACGACGACGTCTGATGAGTAAACTGTCCATGTGTCTCACACACACACACACACCAGTGTGTGTTTGTTGTGTGAAGGAATGTGCATCTCTGATGGCAGACAGAAGTATTCTTTTACATTTTTGGTCTAAATTAAAAACAGAAAACACTTTTTAAAAGGCTGTCTCTTATTTGAACAAACAAAGTCATAATGAAGCACAGAAAACTTTAATTTAACTCATAAAGACTGAAGTTGCGATGATTAAAGACCCGCAGATTTCCTTGAAGGAGATTTTATTTTGACATCTAAAAATCAAACATTTTCCTTGAAAACGTCGATAAAACAAAATAATCATAAAATTATAATGAACGTTTATTGACAAAATGCAAATATTGATTGAAAATGAATATGAAAGCATCAGAAACCCAGGTAAGTCGGCTCTGAACACTAGAGGGAGCTGTGCGTTCACACACACACACACACACACACACACACACACACACACACACACACGCATGTCTGTCTTTCTATCATAATGAGGACCACTGACCTCATTCATGTTTGTGACTGTATTATACCTATTCCCATACCCTACCCTTAACTAACACTTACTAAAACACACGCGCGCACACGCACGCACGCACACACACACACACACACACACACACACACACACATCAGGTGCGATCCTTGCTCACTGTCCGTGTCTCATTTCCTCTGCTGCTCACAAAGCCTCTAACTTGCCAAAACAAAAACAAAAACTAAAACTAAAAAGTTCCACGTCTCTGAATCCTGCAGCAGAATGACTTTTCTCTCTCGCGCTTCCTCTTCACGGGTTAGTTTCCAAAACACTCAGATGTGGAAAATAAGTGAACAAATCTGCTGAATAACTCAGATTTTTTAATGTAACACAGCTAAATGTTTCTTGTTTTTGGCCATCGAAAATATTTAAACATGACACCCCTTTCTTATAAAATGAATAAAAAGGATAAGTCTGTTTTGTGTGTGTGTGCGTGCGTACGTGTGTGTGTGCGTGTGTGTGTGCGTGCGTGTGCGTGTGTGTGTGTGTGTGTGCGCGCGTGTGTGCGTGTGTGTGTGTGTGTGTCACGATCTGCCCCTGCCCTCCTGACTGTGTTCCTCTCCTGCCATGATTACCCTTATTGTTCTCACCTGTCCCTCGTTAACCTGCCCATGTTTCCCTAATTAGCCCTCTGTATTTATACCACCCCTGTCCTTTGTCAGATCATTGTTGTAGTTTGTTGGGTTCCTGTTCATCCCATCCTGCCATTAAACCATTTTTACTTTTACTGAAGCCTGCATTTTTACCTCCTGCTCAGCTCATCCACACACGGTCCGCCGTCTCCACCTCCTACACCGTGACAGTGTGTGTGTGTGTGTGTGTGTGTGTGTGTGTGTGTGTGTGTGTGTGTGTGTGTGTGTGTGTGTGTGTGTGTGTGTACACACGTTTTAAGTGTCAAGTATTTACACTTTGTTTGGTGAGTGTGTGCATGTTTCATCATTAACCGTTTCATGTTTTATGCTGTAAAGCACACTGCTAAAGTGGCTCTATAATAAAATCTGAGCTGAGTTAAGAAACAAAAGTAATTTATCTTTAAAACATGAATCCTTCAAACATAATGCATTCTCTTTAACTCACACATCCACCATCACTGCATCTCTCTGAATCAGGAACCTTCTCCGTTCTGCCACACTGGAGGGGTTTATTCCTGCAGGATCAGTAGAAGTGATGCGTTTTCCTGCAGCTCATTATAGCGTTGGACGCAGTGTTCGCATGAACTGATTAGTAGCGCCGCTGTCTGTTGGCAACTAAAACAGCTTTACGCACAAACAGATGGAGTTCTTTAAACTTATTATTTATTTCTTGTTTATTTTAAAAATTCCTGGTTCCGGTTGAGCCGAGAACAAACCGTTTCAGCTTCAGATTTTTCCTTTAATTCAAAATCCTGTTTGCGTTTCTTTGGTATCTTAGAAGAGGATTGGTCCACTTTTTATTTTTCCACCACGATAAAAAAACAACGGGGCAGGCAGGAGGGAGCGGACCTTGAAGGTTTAAATGGGTGGGCGCACTTCAGACAAAACGCTCAAAACTTTGCGTACTCGGCTTTATTTTGGCGCAGCGCTTGTTTGTGCGCTCACGCACTCAGAGGTTGCACCAGTTCATGTTTTAATTTGATGTTTCATATAAACAACCGTTTCCATAATCACTCCACCTGAGAAGGACTCGGACCTCAGCACGTGCAGCAGGTGTTCAACAGAATCCGTCATGGGAGCGCGCGGATGGAGCTCTGCGCGTCTCGGCTTCGTCGTTTGTGGATATTTTGCGTTTTTCTCCAGTGAATTCGTCCGACCAGCTGAAGCTGGATGCAGGGACAGGGAGAGCCCCAACTGCTGCACCGGTCGGGATAACGACTGTTTCGATTACTCGAAGAGGAAAACGGCGTGCTTCTGCGACAGCTACTGTCAGAAAACCAGAGACTGCTGCGAGGATTACCAGCGCGTGTGCCAAATATCTGGTGAGTCGCTCGCTTTAGTCACTGAATTAAAAAAAAATAGATCTAAACATCATTTAAATTTCTTGTTTGTCTTTTTATTTTATGTTGTTCATTGTTTTTTGGGGTGGGGGAGTGAGACACATAACTGTCCATCATTGCTTTAAGTGAACAACAGAACGTGTGTGTTTGAAGTGTTGACCCATGACCTTCACATCACAGCTTGAAATTGCTCAAACTGACCTGGAAAAGGGTGTCGGGTTCTTTAGCTAAATAAACCAACTGGTGAGGGTCCAGGTAACACCTACCGTCCTCTTGTCTCCTGCTTTATATGGACAACATGGACACCGCTGGCAGAGACAGCCATAGATGGTCAGGATTAAAGTGGGATCTAGTCTGAAGTGTGACAGACAGAAACACTGAGCTGCACGTGAAGTGTCTTTTGCAGAAACTCAGAGGGGTGGTCTGCACGGGGACGTCCTCACAAGTGCGTGGTAACAAACACATGCAGGTCAGACAGCGACCTGTCAGATGGTCCTCAACCCTCTCTCTCCAGCATAGACTTTTATAAACATGTTGTTTATAAAAGTAGGGTTGCATCACTGCACATTTATAAAAGTGCACTTCTATTTCAATCAGCTTTTAATGTTAGAAAAACCTTTCCTGTTGATAGAATTGATGCCACCGTTGAACGTAAACTTCTCAGATGTTTTGTTAAATGAAAACAAGTGTCTGTAAACAATCTTTGGTGGAAAAGTTTGTTTTGTCATTTAAACATTAATTGAATATTTAAAATGGTAAAATAGTTGAATTTAAATAGAATCTGACTTCCAAACAAAATAAATGCTTTGCAATATTTTAAATAAGGAAACACAAATAATTTCTAATTACCCTTGATGCAGGAAGTCTGTTAATGTCTCCAAAACAGAGAACGTCTCAGCCAAAAACATCTTTAGGAGGGATTATTACTCCCTATAAATCAGGCAAAGTATGAAGTAAAACTTTAGGCTTTGTCTCTTTTTAGCCGGTTGTGTTTTAGAATGAGTAGTCTAAAAAGCCAGCCGAGCATCTTCAGGTTCTCCACGCATAAAGTTCACCAGGTGCCTCCACTCTCGTTTCTACTCCAGAGGGACACTTTGGGACAACGCCTTCACTTTCCAACAATCTTCATTATTCCAGTTCAGTGATTATCAGGCTGATAGCCTTCAAAGAACAGAGACAAGTGTTAAACACCACATAATTTATATAAAATACAACAAACAAAGAACTTTCTAAACTAAATCTTCCAACACTAAAAGTGTAAATGACTACATTAAAACATGACTGAATCACTAAAATCAATCAATAAATCAAGTTTTCAATCGTTTAAAAAGGGAAATTAAAGCATGAAGTGTAACAATGACAAATCAAATGTCTACATGCTTGAAAACACCTGTATTAGTGTGTGAATTGTGTGTGAGTGGGTGAATGACTGATTGTGTTGTAAAGCGCCTTGGGGGGTTCCAGGACTCTAGAAGGCGCTACAGGCCATAAACAACATGACTTTAGTGGTCAACCTAAACAACTTCATATCGTAAACAAAATAATATTCACCAACCAGTCGACTCATGAGTAGAGCTTGCTTGCTGTTTGACTCAGAACAGAACCCCCGCCATCTTCGCCCAGGTGTTCTTCATCACCAGTCGGTGGCCATTTTGCTGGTGCTTTCTGGGGGATGTAGTTCTCAGTGGCAGTTATCACCTCTACTTGTTCAGTATTAACTCCACAGTAACCCTGAAGAAATCGTTCAGGTTTGTCACAATCCAACCGCTCTGCAGCTCTGGCTCCTCAAAGGTCGCCGCTGCCATGTGCACCAGTCCGTTCACGTGTTGCACGAGGACTTTTTTGCATCGTGGACTCATGTTTTGCTCAGACGGCTTGATGCCGGGGAGCAAAAACTTCCGTCTGATGCAGGTGGTGCAGGGTGGCTCCTGTACCTTTTGTCTCAAAGTCAAGCGTTAGATGTTAGCTTTGAACGGTCGTTGGTAGCACAGTCACAAACAGCAGCTGTGCTAGTGAACTAACATTTCTTGTGCACCAGGACAACACCTAGACACATCCTGATTTCCTGGACAACCAGAGGATCTTAACATGAATCAGCTCCATCAAAGCACCCTGATACTTCCCCCACTTTACTCCTTACTGGACTCTGCTGCAGCAGCAGGTTCGGTGTGTGTGCGGTCTGCCGCAGGCTGCAATTGTCTCGTGTCAGCTGTAGCTGCTCAAATAGCTCAGCGTGTGTGACATCAGAGGAGAGGCTGGCACTCTGTCAGCATCACACACTCAGATCTTTCACAATATGTCATTTCCCCAGAGACGAGATTCAGACGAAGTATTTGACAGAAACATGTTATGCGTGCGCAAAGGAAAATTTCACAATCATGGAAGAGCACCAGTAATCACCAACAGAAACACGAGACAGATGGAAATGGCTGTAAGAATGAAAAGACTGAGTTGATGCGTGTCGATTTGGTGTAATTACTCGGTATTCATCGAAACCAGAACGATGAGTCTTTATTTTGACCTCCTGATTTGTAGTTTTTGTAAAACTTGCCAGAAGGTGAAGCTCTCTCTACTTACCGAGTGATCTACCTTCAAATGCCCATCTGTGGTCATGAGTTTGGGGGTAGTGACTGAAACAACGAGATTGCAGAAACAAGCGAACCAAACGAGTTTTCTCTGAAGGGTGTCTGGGCTCTAGAGATAGGGAGGGGCTAGGAGTAGACACGCTGCTCCTCCACGTTGACATGCCAGGTGAGGTGGCTCGGGTATCTGGTTAGGATGCCTCTTGGACGTCTCCCTGGTGAGGTTTACCAGGCATGTCCAACTGGGAGGAGACCTAAAGGAAGACCCAGGTCACGCTGGAGGGACCATGCTTCTCGGCTGGCCAGGGAACGCCTTGAGATTCCCCCGGAGGAGCTGGCCCAAGTGGCTTGGGAGAGGGAATTCTGGGCCTCTCTGCTTAGGCTGCTTCCCCCGCAACCCGATCCCAGAGAAGTGGACAAAAAATAGATGGATGTATGGCAAGATTCAGTTATATTAAGAAAGTGTTACAAGCACGGTGGTGGGAGTATGATGTTTTGGTCCTTTTTTAACACTAGTGAATGAAAATCTTATGTCTTTAATAGGTCTGTATATAATGCGATAATTTTCCCCAAATCCTTGAAAAACACAATACTATAAATGACAAGCCACACGGAGGCTTCATTCTGTTTATTTTAGTTACAAGAGAAAAAAGCAGAGACCGAAACTTGTGATTTGTTCCTCGTTCTTTACCTTTGGAGGAGCTTTTGAGTTTTGGCGCTGCTTCCCAGGTAAAATAAATCATTTGAAATGCTCTCCTGCAGGTTTTACAACCAGATAATTGCTCAATTCTTCAGGTAAACTCCAGAAGACATGTTGGAGGAGGAAGCTCTTCTTCCTCTTCCGCTGTGGTGTCTGGTAGTTCTCACTTCTAAACGGAGATAAATTCTGGCCTCTTTGCTTTTAGACTCACCCGTAATTCACCTTCTGTTTCTCCTCCTTTCTGCTGGGATACCATCAGGTTCACTCCCTTCCTTTTCTTCCAGCATGTTCTGTTTTTAACCTGATTCCTCACAGCTGCTGATGGCTTCACTACTTTTTCCTTTTCCTGGCTGCACGAACAAGTGCTCTGGTGCAAACCTGATGTGCAACATCTGGTGGCTTCATGTCTGAAAACTATGCAATGTCCTCCTTTTCTGAACTTGATGCTCTGCTCTGTGAATTATCTAGATAAACAGTGACACATTTTAGCCACAAAGCTCTGAGAAACATGACAGGACTATGCAATGAAACACACCGATGTGGCACCGATGTGGCACCGATGTGGCACCGATGTGGCAGTGCATACGCTCTGAAAATGCGAGTTTTTGTGTAAATTCTCTGAAAATCATTCAACAATTCAGTGTTTCATCATCCATAATGAGGCATCTAATCAAGAGCCGCCCTCCGTTTGAATCCAAATTGTCGTTGTTGGCTTCAAACTGAAAAATAACATCTTAATGGTCCGCTGGCGAACAAGAGCTGTAAAACAGCTCAGTTCAAAGCGCCGACTGTTTGTTTAGTCTCCTGTAGATTGTGTTTACTTGTAAAGTTCAGCGACTCTTTCTCGGCCTTTTCCCACCCAGTTCTGTCAAATATTAATTCGTTCTCCTGCCTCCTTCGCCATGCTAGCACGTTTAATATAATAATAACCAGAGATGTCCAATATTGTCGAATTAAATGTAATATTTGAAAGAATCTGTATCAGTTTTTATTCTTTTAATGACACACTTTCACACACCATTCCCATACGATGCATCAGTCTCTTCAGCTACTTCTCCCACTCAGAATGTTGACATACGACAGATCTGAGGTAAACGTTTTGAGATATTTCAGCTGGTTTGGCGTAACTGACCTAACTTAAATTGAAGTAGTTGTCATATTTGCACAAATAAGCTTAAGTATGAGTGATAGGAGAAATGTTACCCGGAATAAATTAGTTTTACTCTTTTTATGAGGGGCACCAGTACGTGTGTTGGTATCAGTTCAAATCGGTATCGGGAATGAAAAGTGACATAGGTATTGGTAAACAAAAAAAGTCGATACCAAATATCTCTACTGACAACAAGTTTAAAGAGCAAGTTCACTGAGAAACAACATTTTACTTGTTGTTTTTGAAATATGATCAGCCACTTGGAGGTTCACAAGCAGGCTGAACGTGAAAATAGTCTTCTACCCCTAAAACCCACTAAAACACTCGGATCAAAAAAAGTCACACAGATCTTACGTTACACAATTATCATACGTGGACTCACCCTTTTGGCTCATGACGGGGAAGGCTGTTGTTGGTTTAGCATCCAGGAAACAGCAGAGAATAATGTGGCTAGTAGAAGCTAACTGTTAGCATTAGCAACTCTACCACACAGCAGAACTCCTTCAGGCTTCTGTCATTAGTGGAGATAACACATCAACGTTGCAAAGGAAACTGAGTCGGTGGTAGAGTTGCCTTGGTGTTAGCCAATCAGAAGTGAGATGTCTTAATATGATGATTATTAATGAGTCCTGCTGTTTTCTGCCCCCCAAACTAACTCCTACTTCCTGAAGCAGAAGCACCAGAGCTTTTTTTAAAAATGAAAATATGAGTGGATGAGAGGTTTAAAATCCATCCATCCATTTTCTTTACCCGCTTATCCTCACAGGGTAAAATGGTAAATGGCCTGTATTTGATATAGCGCCTTCTAGAGTCCTGGAACCCCCCAAGGCGCTTTACAACAAAGTCATTCACCCATTCACACACACATTCACACACTGGTGGGGATGAGCTACGATGTAGCCACAGCTGCCCTGGGGCGCACTGACAGAGGCGAGGCTGCCGAGCACTGGCGCCACCGGTCCCTTCGACCACCACCAGCAGGCAATGTGGGTTAAGTGTCTTGCCCAAGGACACAACGACAGCGACAGACTGAGTGGGGCTCGAACCTGCAACCTTCTGATTACGGGGCGAACACTTAACTCCTGTGCCACCGTCGCCCCAGGGTAGCGGGGGTCTGGTGCCTATCTCCAGCAGCCTCCAGGCATGCAGGCGGGGTACACCCTGGACAGGTTGCCATTCCATCGCAGGGCAACACAGAGACACACAGGACAATCAAACACAAACACACACACACACACACACACACACACACACACACACACACACACACACACACACACACACACACACACACACACACACACACGCAGCCCTACTATATATATATATATATAATATTATATATATATATATATATATATATAATATTATATATATATATTATATATATATATATATATAATATATATATGTATATATATATATATAATATATATATATAATATTATATGTATTTGTATATATATATATATATATATTATATTATATATATATATAATATAATATATATTATATATATATATGTATATATATACATATATATATATAATATTATATATATTATATATATATATATATACATATATATATATATATATATATATATATATATATATGTGTGTATATATATATATGTGTGTATATATATATATAATATTATATATATTATATTATATATATATGTATATATGTATATATGTGTGTATATATATATGTATATATAATATTATAATTTATATATGTATTGTTCCAACATTGCAGACTGACTGAATCTGTGATAAAACAGAAACATTACTTTATCAGCTCTCTTCGAGCGAGTGAGTGAATGTCCAAGCCTAAACCAGGAGATGTTTTAGAAACCACTGAAATCAGATTTTCTATCTTATCACCGCGTGTTCCAGTCCGGTGAAATAACAAAACTTCTGACATATTATAAACAAATACAATCCGTTTTGTTTGTGCACGGTCCGTTAGTTTCCATAAAACATTTATTCTTGTAAAAAATAAACAAAAGAAAGAAAACTTGGCTCTAGCACTTTCCTCAGTTCCTTTTACCAATTTTACACAAAGCCACCATTTGTTTCCTGTATTGAGGTCAAAGGTCAGAGATGGTGACAGGCATTCTAACACTGGGAACTTTCTCATCAACAATGCAAACAGGTCACAGTACTATGTGGGTCAGACTCATCTGTGGCACCGGTGGGCCAATTTCCTCCTGACCTTTGGTGGCTCCAGGTCAACAGGGTGAGACTTGCCCCTGCTTGTTTGTTTTTGTGCTGCTATAAATAAAACAACAACAACATGAAGCTGATGTGACTAGCTCTTGAGATCTCAAGGGTTTCAACTGGTTTTCTCAGGAAAGCCTTCATGTCTGTGTTCGAGCGACGTCTGAGGATGGAAGCAGTCCAGCTGAGAGGAATTATTTGGCAGAAATGGTTTTCTGGATGTGTGTGTGTGTGTGTTCTGACCTGGGAAAGAGGCGTGTCAGGTGGGCAGCACTAATTTGTTGGAATTCAGAGATTCCACAGTGGCTTTTGTGGATCGGCTGTGTCACCGATGCACCCCCCACCCCTTTAGAACTCCATGGGAATGCACCAAACAAGCGGCGCTTTAAAAGCTCCTTTTCTCCGGCTCACACAAGCACGATTATTCCCTCTCAGCGCTGAATTGAGTAATTATATGACAGAGGAAGATTAGATCCCGTTATGCTGTATTTATCCTCTCCTTCCCTGGAATTTCAAAAGGAATATCTTTCAGCTGTAAACATGCATGCACCTGCTTTCTTTCTGTTAAACTTTTATGGTTAAATAACAACCAGCTCAGTGGCCTAGTGGTAGAGTGTCCGCCCTGAGACCGGGAGATCAGGGTTCGATTCCTGGTCGGGTCATACCAAAGACTTTGAAAAAATGGGACCCAAAGCCTCCCTGCGTGACACTCAGCATTACGGGGTTGGATTGGGGGGTTAAACCACCAAATGTTTCCCGAGCGCGGCTGTGTCTGCAGCTCACCGCTCCCCCAGGGGATGGGTCAACAGCGGAGAACAAATTTCACACACACACCTATGTGTGTGACAACTAATGGGACTTTAACTTTAACTTTTAACTTTAGAAGCTATGAACCACAACTAGCTTGTTCTTCAAGCGTCAACGGTGTTTACATTTATTTCATTGTCAGAGCCTGATGACCTCACTCTGTCGTGTTTTTGAAGTTTGCAGGTCCTCTCCAAAACAAGTTAGTTAAACTGTTAAATCTGGGTGCTGGACATGCCGTGATTACTGTTTAAGTTTTTTGTTTTTGCTTTGATCAGAGCAGCAATCACACTAATGCAGCTTCCTCCTGCCTCGCTTTAATTGGCTAAATCGGCCTACTGAACAGGAAGTCTAATTTGCCACTGCTGTTTATGTGGTGTGCAGAGCTGGTGTGTGTGTGTGTGTGTGTGTGTATTAAGGGGGAACAGGATGCAAAATTAGCCCCTGTGAAAATCGCCCCACACGTACGACCCGAGTAGCAGACTTCCTGTGTCTGGGGCGGATTTAACACAAATCATTCGTAATGGCGGTTGCTTGTTTCCACCTGCCTTCCTGGGTCCATTGTAGAAAGTGTGTGTGTGTGTTTGTGTTTGATTTTTTATGATTATTTCTGATTATAATCGGTCGCTCTGTGTTTTCATGCAGGCTGAACATGAAAATAGTCTCCTACACCAATCTCCTGCAGTAGCTTCTGATAGAAAATCGACGGGAAACTCTAGGATTAGAAAATCCTGACAGATCTACGTCACACTGTCGCCTAACATTCGTGGACTCGCCCATCTTCACTCGTGGCGGGGAAAGCTGTTGTTGGTCTAGCATCCAGGAAACAGCAGAGGTCGTCTAGGCTAACAGAAGCCATTCGTTAGCACTAGCAACTTCACCACACAGCAGAACTCCTTCAGGCTTGTGTTATTTGTGGAGATAAATGAAGGTTGTGGAGCAAACAGGGTCAGTGCTGTTAGCCAATCAGAGGCAAGATGTCCAAATATCAGGAAGTAAGGGTCCTAATCCTGCCGTGTTCTGCCACCAGCTGACTTCTCCATCCTCAAACAGGATCACCGGAGCTTTTTTTTCCTCAGACGATGACTCACAAGTCATTCATTCATACTACAGACCAATGCAAATGAATTAAAAACAAGAGTAATGTTGACCTTTAATTTTGTTTTTCTCTTGGTATTTTTGGCAGACGTGTATCAAAATTTGCTTTTTTTTAACCAAAATATTTTTCCTGACCCCCCCCAGCAGCCATTGACTGCGAAGTGGGATCATGGGGCCCCTGGTCTTCATGCTCATCTCCGTGTGGAGTCGGCACTAAGGAGAGGAGTCGCCAGGTATCTGTTCCCCCCAGAAACGGAGGCACACCCTGCCCCGACCTCAAACAGCGACGAGGATGTTTTGGGAACAACGTCATATGTAGCACAGCAAAAGGTAACACCCCAACTTCTTCTTCTGGTAAATCTCAACATCTCAGTTACTGTTAAGACATTTTTCCTGCTATAAAACAGCAGAACGCAGACAAATAAGATCCCTAATAAAACATTTCTTTGGAAAGCCGAGTACCACTCTGGTCTGAAACACAAATTCATCTGATTAGTTTGAGTGATGTGCTGCGTCAGATTAACAGTAGATTCAACCCCCCCCCCCCCCCCCCCAGGAGCGTAGAAGACATGTCTGAAACTTGTTCTCTCCCTTTTATTTATTGCATTTGTGCAATTGATCTCCAGAGGTGGCAAAGATCCTGCCTGATTCTTTCAAGAGGAACTTCAAGGATCCCTGGAGGCGGCCTCACATGTTGATGAAGGAGGAAAGGGACAGGTGACGAAAATACCAGAATGTTTCCTTTTTAATGTATTTTATTATCTGCAATCTTAAGTTTTTCCTTCAGTTAAAAAAATACAAATCTTAAATAATTTATAAATAACAGATTTCTGCTTGTGTTTAAAGGGACTTTATGGAGTTTTGAATTTTTATGCTCGTGATCGCCCCCTCAGGCCAAAAGCGTAACGGCAGCTTCAATAGTAGGCTCGTGCACGAGGCGCGCATGCTGTACGTGCACACTCCTTAACGAAAATAACAGCTGAGACAGTCCTGTGTGTGTGTGTGTGTGGGGGGGGGGGGGAGGACAGAGGGCAGGAGAACACGCAGCTAATTAATTAAATAATTTGGTTCTGTAGCTTTCTCTTCAGCACAGCCGACAAAGGTTTATGATGGGTCAGTCCTCCTGCATGCTCAGATCATTCCCTTCCCTTGCTTGAAAAATTGTTCCAAAATGAAAGTTGAACCCACATCTTTTTTATCTGTGAATTCAATGCCGTTCGGCGAGTCTCAAATAAAAATTTGGGCATCTTACTGTAAAAAATATACCATTAATGTAAAAAAGAAACTCTAAATAAACTATGTTCACATCCAGAATCAAACCCAGGTCTTCTGCATGAGAGTCAGACATCTTACTAGGTGAGCTACACTCTAGTAACATTCACAGTATCTGTAACTTTTATATTCTTGATGACAGCTGAAACAACGTCAAACCAAAGAACGGTTCGGAGTGAAAATGGCTTTTTTGTTGCTAATTTGCAGGAAATATCTAGAAGAAAGTTCTACAGAAAGTAGCTAAGGGTCCTCAGAAATGTAGCTAGCTTTGTCACTAGGCGTTAGGAACAGCGACAAAGTGGCACTGCCTCTCTCTCTGCTGCTAAAGCTACGGATAGCAAATGCTACGGGCGATGCCTGAGCGTGAACGCGCATGAAGCAGCCTGCTCGACCCGAGCATCTCTCTTTTTCTGTGATTTTACAGAAAAACAGGCAATCACAGTAAAAATGCCAGGGCTCATTCTACAGGACCAGGGCATTGCAGGAGAATGTATGAAGAAGACATTTATTATTTCTATACATGTTTTGGCTGTCACACTTCCTTAGAGTCCCTTTAACTGTCGAATTGCACACCCATGATTTAATGTTTCATGGGTGGCGACTGCAGATTGTTTCCATGCATTTTTTTTCTCTCTGAATTATGAAACGTTTCAAGAGAAACTTTGACTTTCTGAGCACGGCTGATATCTTTTATAATAATTTAGTTCTGTTTTCCAGCTGCAGCTTGTTCTAGCACAAATCTTCCTTCAAGGCTGCAGGATTTAATCTCAGGTTCATATCAGCTTTTATTAAAGGTCACTCTAACATGAGCTTGGGGGAAGATTCAAGACTGAGACCAAGGTTTGGTTGTCATGTTTTGACTCCATATTTGCATCACGAGTTGACCTTTACTCAAAGAGATTAATGGAAATTCTCTGATTAGACTTTGATCAGAGCAGATTGCTGATGTTCTGAGAATAAAAAAAGAAAATCTTTGACCAGGGAATTGAATCCTGGCTTGTTTTCTGACGGCCAGCAGCCCTTTAAACTGATTAAATTGGACATGGGATACTTCTTGTTTTGACTGGAGTGGAAAACACAGGAGAGCATGACTCAGAAATGAAATTGAGATTATGTAATTTCCTACAGACATCTGGTGGATTGAAGGTGGTGCAAGAGGATTTTGACCTTTAAAATTAGTTAAAAATAGTTGCTTATGAATCCTTTTTAATTATTTATTTAAAATTGAACACTAATTAGAAACAAGTCCTCCCTGGTTAAGAAGCTACATTGCTCTTTTTTTTTCTTTGCAGCAAAATTAAAAACACAAGCAAGTCAAACAAAAATACCGCTCTGGGGAACAAACCCAGGCTGAAGCCTCGTGTTTTCATTGAAGTCACCCTACCAGGATTAGTGTTTGGTCAAAGCTGTCTGAGTCACAGACAACATAAAAGTGGAGTTCAAAGAGCTACTACCAGAGACCACAGCCATTAGGGGGGAGAAGGGCCCTTAATGGTTTCCAGTCTGCAGCTTGAGTGGCGTTGACATGACGGTGCAGGTGACCGTGACACAGATGGATCACCTTCAAAATGAACAAATCTGTTGTCAACACATTTTATTTTGTCTGTCTTTTTCCCTTACATTTTCATTTGGCCTCAAGCCAAATACAAGAGGAGGCTAGAAGCCTTTCAGGGATGTTTCTCAGTGTTTTCCTCTTATTGCCCAACTTGAAAAAACATGGTGCTCCTGCATGAAACAGAAGAACAAAACGTTGATGACTGATCTCTTTGCTGCACAGTTCCCTTCAAGTTTCAGAGCCTAAAACATGTTTTTTAAATGCACTTTGACCTACGTTAAGTTCTTCATCCCTTTGCTGTGCTTTTGCAGTTATTGCGTGTACATGAGGGTGAAACTGGCAAGTGCAGCATGTAAGCTGAAGCTGTGGAGTGCTCAGCTGGTGAGAGAGAGGCTGGTGTGCGCCGAGTGTCAGAGCGATGCCATGTCAAAGTCTGATCGCTGTGCAGGTGATGGCCTGGAGAACACAAGGTAAAAATTATATATATATATATATATATATATATATATATATATATATATACATACTGTATATATATTTATATATATTAGGGATGTAAGAAAATATCGATATGGCAATATATCGTGATTTTTTTCCAGCAATATTACATCGATATTCAAAAGACGTGTATCGGAAATATCGATATGGCAATATATCGTGAATTTTTTCCTGTGATTATTACATCGATATTCAAAAGCCGTGTATCTAATTCTTGAAAGAATTTACATGCAAACATTTGTGTATTTTCTTTTCGTTTTATGCAATTCAATCGCCACCCGCTAGTTGGCAGCAGTGTGCGACGGGTTTTGTTTCCACCATTGAAATGTAAAACCCTCCATCATGGTTCAGATACCTCATGTTAAACATGTTACGTATCAGTTTGGACTGTTTATTGAACATTCTTACAATAAATTCAGTAAAACAAGTTACTTGTAACGTCTGACTGAATGTATCGCAATATATCGTGATATATCGTATCGTCTCCCCAGTATCGTGATAAGTATCGTATCGCCAGAATTTCAAAAACACACATCCCTGATGTATTGTATAATATATATTATCAGCCCTGATGGGGCAATAAGTAAGAGTTTTACAGTGAAATAATCCCAAACCAGTCTAGTGCATCAATCATATTGGAAGGAATGAGACACGGGGGATTTGTGCATTTTTCAGAAAGGCCAAAGAGGGATGTAGTCTGTGTTTACAATCTGTGCGCTTCCAAGATTGTCGAGTCTGCACTGATGAGCAAACTCTGAAACCTCGATAAACTAAAATTTTTGCCAGATTTCTGTGCACGAAATCCACCCACAAACACGACGCAATCAAAGAAATCACAATTAAGACAATTTGTGTTTTTTTCTCACATCTTTGTGCAACCTGACAAAGAGCTGACGTTGTGCTGTCAGGAACATTCCCAGTAAAGGTCTTTGTCTCTTGATGTGTTTATTTTGAAATTCTCCAGAACTTTCTGGACAGCAGCTTCAGCTCCTGGTTGCCATGGTGCCTGGGTGCGAGAACTATCTTCTGAACACTGCAAGTGTCCTCCCTTCTCTGTCCTCTTTGTTTGAGCCGACACGCCGTCCCCAGACGTCTGAACACAGGGGTGTGATCCTCCACGGAGCCTCCTGCTGACAGCGGACACAACCTCCTCCTATCCAAGAGTCCTGGATGGATAACTGAAGGAAATCGGCTGCATCCTGCCACTTCTCATCTCCTGTACCGTAACCCAGCAGCTACAAGCTCACAGACTTTTCCTTTTATCGCTCCACCTTTAAATCGCAGCATCTCCCTACCTCTTAAGCTTGGTTTATGCTTGACGCATTCACTTTCCGCTTGGTGATGCGGCTCGCGGATGGAACGCGCTTCACAACTCGCAGCGTTTATGGTTCGTGCGGCTCGTCTCTGCGGTGAGCCAATATTCTCCCAAACTGTAGGGGGCAGCATGGAGCTCTACGGCATGCATCCAACACTACACCATAGTAGAAGTAGAAATTACTGTTTACAACACGGCATTCCAGCATTTTTAACAGCGTCCTCGTCTTTTCCGACAGTGCGAGCTATTTCTCTCCAAGAATTAATAACTACATGTTGATCACGGTGATCTCTGAGAGCTGAAGCATACAAAAGTCTGTATTTACCAACCTCTGCCATACTAGTTCTTGCCGGTCCGCCATGTTTTTCCGCGTCCGTCCGTCCGCGTGGTTAGAAATTTTCCGAGGTGCGCGTTGCGGAAATCTTGAGCCGTGCGGAGACGCGGTGGAGGGGCGTGGTTGTTAAAATGACGCAACTTTTCCACGCGGAGCCGTGCGGACCTCGCGGACGTGTCAAGCATAAACCACCCTTAAGTCTTTGCTGTCTACCTCCATCAATGCATCTGCCAACTCTTACTTAATACAAATATATTATTGTTGCTTCATGCATTTTATACTCATGATTGTTTATATGTGATGTGAATTAGCCCATATTTTTATGCTCAGTTTTAAATCACCACCATTGTGTTGGTTATGCTTCATTTCCTTAAAAAAAAGGCTAAAATTTAATGTTTTATTGTAATTTCCTAAAAGCATTTTGTTGAAATAGAGAACATGATATGAGTAAGTGTTTATGAATATTGGGTATTGATTCTCAGGTGCTTTAAATGGTTTTTGTCCCTCGTTTGTTCCTTCACAGCGACTCGCAGCTCCTCTCTTAGCTTAGATCTGATGATGTTTGAGAGGAAAATGAGCCGTAGAGATGATTACCGGGACGTTTTCTCTGTCCTCGAGGACAAAGAAGACTTTTCAGAGTGTTTTTACTCACAGCCAGCTCTACTCACTGGGGAGTTTTATCAGCAGAGGACCAGCCAAAATAAACACGACACGCAGCCAAGTCACTCCCAAATTATAAATGACCAGCATATCCTCCCAGCACTCCCCATGTCTGCTTGTTTTTCCAACTCCTTCCTTCTCTCTGACTTGTTTTTGTTTAAAGAATTTGCAGATGACTCGCTTTTGCATGTTTCTGTCACGGCTGGTGACTAGAAGAACAGGTGAATTCACAGGGAGGAGGTTTTCCATCTTTAACGCTCTTCTATTATTCCTCCACATCTGTATTTGTGTGATTATTTATTATGAAACAATGGTTTTATTCATTCAAAAGCATGTTCTGTCCAATAATGATTAAACAACCGTAGGATCTCTGGCTTATTTGGTCATATATGTACAACTTTCTTCGTCCTGTTTTTCTTTAAAGAAAGTGTTTTTGACTTCTGCTCTATGCGATAACAGCTGAGAATGCAGCAGTAATGACCGCGGCGCTCAGTTTGACGAGTTTTTACACGCAACAAGTAACGTTTGAGGCAGTGTAACATAACGCATCCTGGATGTGTTTTTGCTGCATTCTCAACATTTTTCCAGAGGTGCGTAAACCGGACGATGACTGACAAAATGACAACTTATGTGTGTAATTTACCTTTTCAGCTACAATCTCCTGCAATTTGGGGTTTTTTTGTGATGTCAGCGCAGAAAATGATGTGCGGACAGATAAAACGTGAAGGCTGAGACACCTGACAGCATGGACGTAATTTTCACTTTAGGAGTGGGGGGGACACGGGGGCGGGTTGGGGGTGCTCTAATGGGAAACAGGCTTGGCTGCGCAGTGGCGCAGTTGTTAGAGCTGTTGCCTTGCAACAAGAGGGTCCTGGGTTCGCTTCCCGGCCTGGGCTCTTTCTGCAAGGAGTTAGCATGTTCTCCCTGTGCATGCGTGGGTTCTCTCCGGGTACTCCGGCTTCCTCCCACAGTCCAAAAACATGACTGTTAGGTTGATTGGTCTGTCTAAATTGTCCTTAGGTGTGAGTGTGTGTGTGCATCGTTTGTCCTGTGTGTCTCTGTGTTGCCCTGCGATGGACTGGCTCTCTGTCCAGCAGGGGCGGCGTTAGGCCCGGCTACTTGGGCTGAAGCCCTGGATGTTTCATGGAAAGCCCCGGATCTAAATCGTGGAAGTAACATGCAGTACCAAAGTCCAACAGAGAGGGCGCAGTTGGCAGTAGTTTGTATACAGCCTGCCTGAGCCTCCACCACCGAAGAAGAAGCCCTTCAGCAGCTTGCTTCTTCTGCAGTCTCTGCCTGAAACGCATGAGTGAAGATGGACATAAGGACGTTTTTTAGACCAAAAGTACGGCGACAGAACCCCAGCTTTGATGAGACTGGTGTTGACTCAGGTTTGTGAGTCTTATTTGAAAATATTTGTTGTGCTGCTGGTTTGCCTAAAGTTAGCTTACTATCAGGTAAAGTTGTTGGAGAAAGAAAGGGAATATTTACTATCATCTAGGGCTGGGCGATATGGCAAAAATAGAATATCACGATTTTTCCAATATTTTATCACAATTTCGATTTTATCACGATTTTTTATCCATGAATAGCATAACTTCAATTGCGTATAAAAGAAGAGAAACATTGAATAAATAAACATTTATTCATATTAGGGATAATCAGCACAGTGTTAACACACTTATATTTTAAACTCACACCAGAGATGATAAAAGCCCTGAGAGAAACAATTACAAAAATCAGTTTTTCTCGTTTTTCAAGTAACTTAACATAAATTAAAATCGTAAACATATTTAAAGTGCAAACATGTCAATTGCAAACGTATTGTGCAAACATTAACTTGTTCAAAATACTATGTAGCTCCCAGTTGCTCATGTAGTGGATAGTTAAGCTCAAATACGGCTCTGATGTGCGGCTGGACCAGAGATCGCTTGTGGTAGCAAAAAACTGCTCATTCTGAATATTTTCTGCAACAAGTCTCTAAATAAAGTAAAATTCTCCAGTGCAGATTGGAGACAACCCATAGAAGCACTGATTTGATCTCATTTCAGAGAAAAATAGAACAGGTTAGATGCACCTAATAAATAAAATTACTAACAAACTCAGGAATCTTTCTTTGCTTCCCTGTTCTGGTGCTGAGAATATCACTAATGTGGATCAAAGGAGATACACAGATGAATGCACCTCTTATTTATTATTTGGAGACTACATTTACTGCAGCTGGCAGAGGCAGAGATCGTTTCTATTGATACACGGATTTACAGAATCATTTTAAATGTTAATAGGGGAAGACTGCAGGAGGGAGCGGTAAAATACAGGGGGTCCCAGCAAAAACAAGAAACTACGAGTCTGATGAAACCCACTGGTTTTCCATCAGGCAGTCACGGGGCAGCTCCAACGACCCAGTGACCGAGCTCAGTCCGGTACCGACACCGGCTCGGCAGAGGGTGGACGAGCCGAGGCGGCGGCGTGCTCTGCTTAAGAAGCGGTGTTATTTTCCTGCTTCAGAAGAAGCGTCCAACGTGTTTTTACGCTTTCTCCGAGACATGTCACGCCGCTAAGTTGTTAGCGCCGCGCGCTAAGGAAACCCTGCGTTCCTCTTCGGAACGAAAACCTCGTTGTCGCTCAGCCGCGGCGAAGCCATGTTTGTTCACACACAGGTGAAAACAAGCGGGGCACTAATATATTACTATGACTCACTCTGATTGGTTAAGGGTCAAACAAAGGCGTGTCATTCACCTGAGGTAAGTTCCCTTTTCATTCAGAGGCAGAAATCCAACAGCAGAGCTGTGAATCGTGATAAAACGGTCTCTCAAAAATGACAGACCGTCAGATGTGTAGATCGTAAAACGGTCTAAAATCGTCATATCGCCCAGCCCTACTATCATCTCACACTAAACACTAACAGGAACAATACTCTGCCCTGAAAATGCTTAATATGTAGCTTCAGATTAAAAATTATGTGGTACAAGACATATATGATGGTGACTAGTGCGTGTCACGTGTGTGTGTGTGCCCCGGATGTTCTTCAGTCCTTAATCCGCCCCTGCTGTCCAGGGTGTACCCAGCCTACTTGCCCGTTGACCGCTGGAGATGTCCCCTCTGCCCCCCCCCCCCCAAAATTACGTCCATGCCTGACAGCTAAAATCCACCGGATAACTCCAAATACAATTCAGTTCAATTCAATTCAATTCTTTATTCAGGACAACGTACATTAACAAACAGTCAAATACGTTGTATCGATCGTAAATGGGCCAGATTATAGCATAGTTGCTAATTAGCATCTGTAGTCCGTCAACAAGATAACTAAGTAAAACAAGTAACACTGTACAATTTAAAAAGTCAGATAGAAATGTTCCATTAAAATAGACAAACAAAAAAATAAAATAACTAAAGATGCAAACATGTCTGGGAACCTTTAAGATGTAGTTTGAGGTGCTTTTTAAAGGTGCTATAAGTGGGAAACTCTGATATTCGCTGGGATGTTGTTCCAAAATTGACTCCCTCTAACGGACAGCACCATTTGTCCGAACGTCGTTTTCCTGTAGGGGATCCGAAGGTCTCCTCTAGTGGAGGCTCTAGTGCCGAAGCCTTTGTCTGCTCTTAATTTCATGTATGCGGAAAGTGGAAATAGATAGTAGATAAGTTGATGGCAAAATCCACCATCTTTTAGCTTTTTTGAGGTTTTTTTTGAGGTGAAGACACAGGACCTGCTAGACTGTGTGACTGCACCACGGCGGCCATCTTGCCCAAGATGGATTGCCTCCTTCTTGCTGGAGAAGCAGTAGTACAGATACTTTTCACCTTACAGACATCATTTACTATGCATATAACCCTCAAATTGATTAAATGTTCATAATAATATATGATAAAGATCATTTTTTGTTCAGAAAATTAAATTTAAACAACTTTCTTGCTTTACGAGTTTCTGCCAAACACATTTTGCCTCATTCATCAATCTCTCCAACCTCCCTGCCTCCTGTCGTTGCTCTCCTCCCTCCGTCCTCTCCTCAGCTCTCCACCAAACTCCGCTGTCAGCACAACCCTTTTATTTGGTTTCATTACAGCGGTGGCAGTGACAGTTCGTACCCCCGTTGCTGCTTTCCAAAGGGAAGGCAGGGATAAGGCCCGTCCCTGGCTCAGGGCCCGATGGACTCTGACAGCAGTGGGTTCAGTGATTACACTTTTTGGAGGGGGGGGGGGGTTCCAGCACTGGCGGCTTTTGTCACAACTCGGCGACTGTTTGCTTTTTTCACAAGGCAGCTGTTCAGAGCCCTTTTGCGGTCCTTGTTAACGGCATCAAAGGAAAGAATCCAGAGGTGACTTCCGTTTTTTGGCTGTGCGATGCCACCTCGACCTCAAGGTCCCTTCACTCTCTGCTGTGAGTTGTTTGGGCCTGTGGCTGCATCTGTCAGTGTTCCCTCACAACCTTTGAAACACTTGCAAAAATGAATCTCTCTCTCTTTTATGATCCCTCAAAAAGGTACAAATTAGTCAAAATGAAGGATTTATGAACTTTGTCCACAGTTGTTTTTCTGATTTCATCTGTTTACATCATACATGCTTCAAAGAGTCACACGAAACATCTTAAAAATGTCTTTCTGTCACTGCGTACGAGTAAAATATGTTTTAGGAGCATGAGCTGTAATCAGCAGGCCATCCTAATGGATGCTTGTTGCTCCTGTGGAAGCAGCTGGTCCGACACGGAGGAATGATAATGAATGGAAGGCTTAGCTTAGGAGATGAGCTACACACAGCTGGCACACAACCCTCACAGGGAGCAAACACTTCCAGCATCAGTCTCGTTTTTATTCTTGAAATATAGCACCACCTAGTGGTTCTGTTGGCCTACTGCTAAGTTTAGACTCCAGAATTGCATCTTTTTTAATGCAATATTAACCGATCTAACAGGGCCAGAGGGCAAAGAAAGATTCATGAATTTTCAACTACTTCACACTGAACTAGTAGACATCTTTTAGGAAATAATTCAAATTTTGTTTTTCGGTTTTCTCCAGTTCTGAGTCTTTATTTATTCAGTAACTTGGTGTAATTATTTATGCTGTAATTATTACCTCAGACACAATGTGCAGCACACAAAAATACTAAAGCACATTTATTTGCAAAAATAAACAAAGACTTAAAGTGACATAACATAAATATGAGACAAAATCATGATGCAGGTTTGTTTTTTTTCGCTACTACACAAATACATGTATGTAAGGCAAATGTGACTTTAAGCTAGTTTTCTTGCATGTTTGTGTTTTTTAAACGTAGTGAAAGGTTCAGGAGTCGTTATATCTTCAGGAAAATTAAACATAGAATAGAAATTTTACCAACTTATGGAATGATTTGTCATTTTCTATTATTTTCCTCGTTATTTTGCATGATTTACAAATCAGCTAGTTGTCAAAAACCCACCTTTGGTGATTAGGAAAAACTGAGAATCACACAAATGCAGTGAAGTTTGGCAGTGAAAACAAGGTAAACAGGGACAGATTACATGTTTCCAAAGAAAAGTGGGAAGGATTGTTTAGGCAGAAGAGAAATTTAAAAACTAAATAAAATGAAAGGACGTTTATTAACCCGAGTCCAGGATGAAAAGTCAAATGAGGGATTGACCTGCTGCCATATGCTTTCCTCATAAGAGATAAGTCCACGTGTGTTTAGTCCTATTTCAGATTCTTTAGTTGTTGGTTTGTGTTGGTAATCTTCAGATCCATCTTGTCCACTTTGTTCATCAGAGAATCAATGGAGTCATCCTGGTCTTCGATTTCAGACTGAAGACCAAGCCCGAGGTTCTTCAGTCGACTCAGGCCAAATGACATCTCGTCTAAGTCATCAAAAAACAAAAAAAGGGAAAAAAGAAAAAGACATCAAATACGACACCTACATTTCCTAAAGGGATTAGCTAATGGGGGCCTAAAGGTGGTTTTCCAGGCGCACTCCTCAGGAGTAACTCGGACCGATGCAGCTTGGCCTGACCACTGATCCCAAGGGCACGGTTCGGTATTTTCCCTCCACTTTCTCCCCGATTTGTAGTCCCTGCTTCGCCTCGATTTGTAGTCCCTGCTTCGCCCCGATTTGTAGTTCCTGCTTCGCCCCGATTTGTAGTTCCTGCTTCGCCCCGATTTGTAGTCCCTGCTTCGCCCCGATTTGTAGTTCCTGCTTCGCCCCGATTTGTAGTCCCTGCTTCGCCTCGATTTGCAGTCCCTGCTTCGCCCCGATTTGTAGTCCCTGCTTCGCCCCGATTTGTAGTCCCTGCTTCGCCCCGATTTGTAGTTCCTGCTTCGCCCCGATTTGTAGTCCCTGCTTCGCCTCGATTTGTAGTCCCTGCTTCGCCTCGATTTGTAGTCCCTGCTTCGCCTCGATTTGTAGTCCCTGCTTCGCCCCGATTTGTAGTCCCTGCTTCGCCTCGATTTGTAGTCCCTGCTTCGCCTCGATTTGTAGTCCCTGCTTCGTTGAGGTACCTGGCAAGGCTGAGTCGGGCCGGCATCGTGATTCTAGCTGATGATTGGCTAGGGGGCGGAGTCACTGGTTGCTCCTGAGTCTTGCCTTCTGTTTAACTGCCTCCAGCCACTTCCTGGTTCAGAGTCTGACAAAAAGTCATAAAACTGAGCAAAACGTCCAGCAACACCACCGTTTCTCAGCTGAGTTGTGTTTCTGTGGAGCAAACATGTTCTCTTACACTGTCTACTGATCACCTCATGTCATTTTGCCACGAGTAAAAACTGCGCACACCCCACCCCTGACTGCACGGCGGCGCAGTGGTTAGCACTGTTGCCTCGCAGCACGAAGGTTGCAGGTTCGAAACTCGGCTCGGCTGCGGCCTTTCTGCATGGAGTTGCGTGTTCTCCCCATGCATGCGTGGGTTTCCTCCGGGTACTCCGGTTTCCCCCACAGATCCCAACATGCCCTACAGGTTATAAATTGTAAGTCGCTTTGGATAAAAGCGTCTGCTAAATGAATAAAAACATAAAACCCCCCGCACCTATGAGGGGCGGTGCACTTTCTGTCATGGAGGGGGCTGCACTCAGATGGGCTGACTCAAACTACGCTGTACAGAGCTGTTTAGGCGGAGTAGTTCTCCTGGAAAACTAGCTTTAGTCCTCCCTTTCCGGTTGGCTTATGGGTCCCCGGAAGAACAAAAAAAAGGAGAATGCAAGTCAAAGGGACTAAAAGAACTATTTCCTAACCCGTACGCTGAAATCTTGGACTGTGCAACGTGCCACCTCACTAGAGTCTACACAGCGTTACATGAAGGAGTCCTCTGCAACAGACGAAAAATGCAGCGTGGCCCAGGATTAAGAAAACCAAGCTGTTGCTGGCCAGCCCAACCCCTCCCCTGATTGGCTGCTATAAGCTAAGAAGCTCAGGTATTTGGGAGGTAGGGCTGTGTGATTTGACTATATGAGACCGTTAAGGATTATTAAGTGATGATGATCTACCAAAGGTCGGAGATCGTAGAACCGTTTATTTGCGTTCTATCATCTGTGCCATTGTTTCTGGACGCGTCTACCGGCACGTTTTTCTCAGCCGACTCGCACCATTTGCTAGTCTGCTTCTGTTGGCATGACAGACGTGGCTGGGATGCTCAGTAGAGCCGAGGAAAGTAATCTAACAATCGATGCATTAAGATGCGGACGATTATGAATCATTGAAGAAGCACACAATACTCGATTATAGCGGCTAGCATTAGCCACTAGCTTGCTCCGTCTCTAAGTGGTTGCTACATATATTCTCACACGTGTGCTCGATCAGGGAACCTCTGGGTCAATGTTCTGCTCTGAACTTTGCATTTAGCTTTGTTTCTTGTATTATTTGGAGACGTTTGTGTGTTTTTTAGTGAGCCTTTTCACCATGGCTGCCGACCGGAGCTTGGTTTATGCCAAACCCGCCCCCGCGTAATCAGGAACAGTAGTGAGGGACAAATACAGCGCGTAACAGGGAATGCATGAGATGAGGATGAATCATGAATTTAGCTTAACATGATTGATTTAGTTTCTCTGGACAAGTAATAATTACTGGTAATACTGTGGATCAAAGAGTATGAACAACCTCTAGATAGAATTTAAATTATTTTACATTTCATACAAAATTTATAATTAAATGAAAGTACCTGTGGGACATTTGAGACATGTATCTCTGGCTCTCAACTGTAGGTATGTGTGTGTGTGTGTGTAAATGTGTGTATATATATATATCTCAATCAGGGTTTCCCCCAGCGCTAAGCCTGGCGGCCCACCAGGCTTTGCTTACCCACCCGCCAGACTATGAGTCATGCCCCGCCCCCCCTCCCCGACCCTACCGTGTCCACTGACACGAACGGCACAACGAAACTAGAGCCCTCCATCACCTGATACTGGTGAGTGTAACGGAATGAAATGAATGTTTTCCACCTAAAAGTCATTCCCCCCCCCTCCTCAGCAAGAACTAATCTGCTTGAGTTATTTATGACATCACAAACAGGGCCAGGATTTTCCCCCAAGTTTGGAGTGTTTGAAGAGGCATCATCAGTGGCGTGTCCAGATCTTTTAAAATGGGGTGGCCCAGGTCAGGCACAACTTTGTGCATGGGTGGCACCAATGGTTATGCTTTTTTTTTTCTTTACCCCAAGTCTTTTGTGGACAATGAAAAGCCTATTTAAAGGGAATTCTGTGTGGTGGCACCTGGGGTGGCCAATCAGATTCCAACGGTGGCATTTGCTACCCCAGGCCACTCCCTGGCCACGCCCCTGGGCATTATAGACCCACATGGCAGCACAAAAGAATGCAAATGGTGAGTTTTGCATCATGTCTCCAAGAATCGCAACTAAAGTTAAAAGACATTCTACTTTTATTTTTAACATTAACTTTGGTATTTCTTATCATGTGATTAGAAAATTGCACAATTTAGTCAAGGTTCAGTATAATATAACAGAAATGAATTATTTTTACCCAAATTTTTATCAAGGGTGTGGTGAGCCTCCTTGAGGTAGCTGTTCTGTGGGTATCCATTCTGTCCGGATGAGCCAGAATCCAAGGATGAAGCTGCTCCAAAACCTGGAACACAGGAAGGAGAAATGATGACGGCTGGTTCATGGGATGATTAAAACATACCCAGGTTCATGTGCCAACGCCCACCTCCTGTCTCCAGTTTTCTTAGATTGGGGTGGCTCGCTTGGTATTTATCTTCATGTTCTCTGCTGCTGGACATGGCCTTCTGTAATCTGAGACAAAAAGTACAATTCAAAACAAGAAATGAACTGAAATTTACAGATAATGATCATGTTCTGGATTCTATTAAATGATAAATAACGTTTGGGGCTACTTTTATTAAACACATGAAGCACCTTAGTACATGTGCTAGAGGTGAGGGAGGAGCTACACCTCACCTGTAGTAACCTCTGAAAATCCTCCAGCAGTGCTTGGTTTGTAAATTCAGGGATACTTTAGAAATAAAACAGTAACTTTAGGTCAACTACTGATACTATGAGGTGTTGGTGGCACAGGAGCTCAGTGCTCGCCCCGTAATTAGAAGGTTGCAGCTTCGAGCCCCGCTCAGTTTGTCGCTGTCGTTGTGTCCTTGGGCAAGACACTTTACCCCCCTTGCCTGCTGATGGTGGTCAAATGGACCGGTGGTGCCAGTGCTCGCTCGCCAGACTTGCCTCTGTCAGTGCGCCCCAGGGCAGCTGTGGCTACATCGTAGCTCATCCCCACCAGGGTGTGACTGGGTGAATGACTGTGATGTAAAGCGCCTTGGGGGGTTATAGGACTCTAGGTGGCGCTATATCAAATACAGGCCATTTACCATTATACATTTCTAACATTTTGTAGCGTTGTAGCTTAGAAGGTCTAGTAAATGAATCAGTTGTATTAGTATGAAGTCAGATTTCAACTTTTAATCCTAATAATTATGATTCTTTAAATACTGTAATATTTTATAACTTCTATTCCATTACGCTTTAGAACTTGATTTGCATTCAACTTTAAAATAAAAGTTATTGAATATTTGTAAAAATGACAATAGCAAAAGCAGTAAAAAGTCTAAAGTGTTGGACCTGCAACAAATAAGAAAATGGTATTGATATGACAGCAGCACAGGAGTGACTGAAACGTACCGTTCATTGGTCTCGTAGGCTTTTGGCTCTTCAGGGGTTGGCTTTGCATCTGGCTTACCCTTGAAGTAATTGACAAGACCTCCCCACACACTCTTGATAGAGTTAATATGCTTTTGGCTGGTTTTCAGGTCCTGATCCATACCCTCCAACATCTTGTCAGCCCTCTTCAGAGCTTCACCTTGTCGCACCAACTCCTAAACACATATACACATAAAAATAAATGAGCAACCGAGGAAGGATATTTATGGATGCGGTGAAAGAGGATGTGAAGTTAATGTGAGGGTAGAGAATGCAGATAGGAAAGGACTGAATGACGACAGACAATTCACCATAGGGACCATTGAAGGCAAAAGCCAAAAGAGAAAGAAGAACATTAAAATAAATGAGCAAAAAATGGATGAAGAATGCATGGATAGATGGATGGACTTATACCTCTGCAGTTTCCACACCCATCTTCTCAGATTCATAAATGAGACCAAGGGAACGATGGCTGCTATCCACAGCAGACTGTGCTGTGCGCATTACTTCCTGTCGGAGATACCTCTGCCTCCTCTCAGCGTCAGACAGCCCGCTGTCATCAGCTTCACCATCAAAATCCCTATTTTTAGGCTTAAATCCTTCCTCCTCCTCGTCATCAGCAAATGGATTGTGAGATTTTGGGTAGGCCATCTGAAAGTTAAACGCACAGTGTTGACAAAATAATATTATCTAAAGTCTTAAATATATGTCAACAGGATTAAGTGTGCTCATCTGCTGTATAAAAACCACTAAGCAAAGCTTTTGACATTAAGAAAGTGAATAATATCATGTTGTGAGAAACTGAAATAAGTCATAAAAGAAGTGATTAAAATCCAAATAAGTCCTCATAAGTTACTTTTCTAAAAATACACGTGAGAACACCTGCCAAGATAGATAATAATATAAAAAAGTAGCTTGTAACGTATTACAGTCCCTACAACATAACGACAACTTACCATTAGCATCAACAGATAAGTTGACACATTAATCTGAAAAAAGTTTAGCTGTATTTTGAAAAGGACTCTTTTCTACTTTCAACAAGTTTCAGTCTTCACAGAAGAAAACATGTTTTAAATGATGGGTGGCTCCAAGCAGTTCACTGCTGTATGGCACCGGTATTATACAACCTAAAGACAATAATATTTGTTGTTCTGTGTTGTTATTTAATAGGTGTTGGCTAGCATGTTCGAGAAGATACTGCTAGCAGAACTAGCCGACCCACACGTCAAACAGCCACACCCGAGAGACAAAGCCGCGGTGTAGTTTGACTGTAAACACCTTTTCAGCTATGAAATAGCATGTGCCAAACGACACCCTAAAAATGATCATTAAAACGACACTCACCTTCTGACTGTCGATAACTCAGTGCTACAGATGAGCACTGTGTCACGTTGGATGACGTAGTGGTGTGCCGTGCGCAACAAAAAGTATAAAAGTACTCGTCGTGTATAAAATAATATAAATAAAAATTTAAAATATAAAAAATTCGGATGGGATATGTTTAACTTAGCTTACTTGGTTAAATAAAAAAAAGTAAAGAGCTTCAATATATTGAATGGCGCAACATGGAATTGTCCGTGTTGGGCTTCCGTCCGTACTGCGGTATCCTAACGCTAGTTGCCGCTGCTCTGCCGTTTCCTCTTATTGTTGAATCATAACGCTGGCTTGATGGAATCGTAAACATGTCTTTAATGGGAGGCAGTACGAGAGGGTTTTATTTCAACACAGTTCTATCGCTGGCCCGCTCACTTGCTGCTCATCGTCCTGCCCCCGTCGACAAGGTGAGGAAAAATCCAGAGTAATTTTCTCTTGACAAAAATTAGCATAAAATTAGCTTAGGTCGGAACAGTAATGACCACTGGTGTTTAGGGTGTTGCTCCGCTTCCGCACGCCCAGGCGGTGCCTTATTTTGATTACAGACAAGATTAACGTTTGACAGTTCCGTTTATGTTTGCATTTAGAAGTCACCAGTACGGGAATTAATGTTTCCCTCTCCCGTATCAGAAGATAAACGGGCTGTTGCTGCGCTTGTGTGGTTCCTGCTACTGCATCACTCAGGCGGAGTAGCCAGCCTCGCTGCGGTCAAACAGGTTTACAGATGAGGGGGAAAGTGCTCAGCTGGTTGTGGATACTAACCTGTTCAAACTACAGGGTGGAGAATGAAGAAGATTTACTTCACCACTTAAGAGAAGCTCGCACGAGAGTCGATTTGATTGATTTTGTTGAACCAACTATCCACGCACTCCATTATCTATTGTGTATTTAGAGTTTTAGCTAGAATATCAAACAGGTAATAAAACATGGAAAATTCATGTGTATTAATAACGGGTTGAATACAGTACAAATGTTTTTTTTTTTACAAAAATCAGAAATAATTTCAGTTACATTGTTGTAAAATTTCAGTTATAAGACAGGTAAATATTGGATCATGCAGGTGTCGTAAAACAAGAAACACTGCAACATTTGAGACTGATACTATAAAGAAATAGCAGAACCCTTGTGACATATTATTGACTTTTAGATATAAAGTTTATTTGGAAAAGCCACAAACCTTTAATGTCATCTTTAGGTTTTAACTTAGTGATGCATTTTATGGCATAATTACCACAAACTTCCGCAAAACCCCAGTGTTTATTTGCTCCCAGATCTCGTAAAACGTTTAAATACTATATAATAACTTTAAATACTGGTATTTTAATAATGCAATGTGCAAGTTCAGTTAGTGAAGGAAAGTGTAATTAGATTGAAAAATTTCATTGTTTTGAAATGACCAGATTACCTTTTTTCCTTCTCTTTCGTGGTCGTATAACATAATTGCACATACTAGACAGATCAAACAATGATGTTCCCACAAGCTTATATATGCGCTTCTCTTTATTAGTCACTCTTATTAACCCCGATGCGCCCATCATTGCCATCACAACCTGAATTGATCACATCTCATACTTTTAGGTTCCAATTTTTTACTCCCCCATAGACTGAAGCTTTTTACCTTATTTCATGTGACCGATGGGATGCTCTTACATATTTCCTGAGTAGATCCAGGCAGTGACCTTTTTTTAGTAGAGGCGGTGGATATTTCGTTCATCTTAATCTTTTTGTGCTCTTTCAGGTTCAGAAGCTACAATGCATGTGTCCAGTGGAAGTCCGTGGTGTGTTCAGTTTAGATGTGCGTCGCCGAGATGCTGTTATAGCTCTGGCAGTGTTTCTGGTAGAGTCTGGCTTGCAGGTGGGTGTTTAGTCCATGTTAATTTGGAGTCGAGTTCCCTTAACACGGCGGTTTTAATTCATATGAATGCTCCCTGATGCTGAATTTTTGTGTTTTCACCTTTTGGAGCTGAAGTGACACACATCATATATAATTTAGTACATATTATTAGCCTCACTGTAGTATAATGATAAATATGATGGAAAATTTACCACAGACGAAGAATACCTCACTTTTAAAATGATGTTTACTTTTATTTTATTATTGTTATTCATTTATTTGATTTTAATTCTTCTTATTTGATGTTTATATCATTTTCAGAGGCTGAGAAATATTTTTTTAAACTTATTTTTAATTAAAAACTGAAGTTTTAGGATCATTTTTTTGTCATTGGGGTCTTAGGTCATAATGTAATGGGTTGATTTAAGGTCCAAACATTAAAAGCAAATCCAAAACAAAACTGTGATGTGATACAATAATCTATTATCCTTTTCATTTTTTTTTACCTGGGTTCTGATAAGACTCCTTACTTAACGTCGCTACCATGAGCTCCGTCTCATAATCTGATTAAGACAGAGATTAGACATTGATCACATTAGCCTGTAAACTCATCCCACAGAGAAAAAGTGGAAATCTTCCCTACCCTCTGATTGTGTAGAGACGACAGCTGTACTGTCATGTTGTCGCTGACCCAGATGACACTGTGTTAACTTGAATTAATCCTCGTAGCTACTGCCACGTGCATTTGTTTGTTGTGTGTAATAATGTGCTTTACTCTTGCAGCACAAAGACATCCTTGTTCCCTACTTACTGAGCCTGTTGAGAGGGCTGCCACGGGTCCAGTGGATCGAAGAGGGATTAGGAAAGAAAGGAAAGGGTAAGAGCAATCCTCTGATGTGGAGCCTTCTGATTTACAGCAGCCTTTTTAGATGTGGCGATGTTCAGCTAACGCACGTTTTAGTCTCCCTGCTTCTGGTGGTCTATCGTCAAATGTCATGAGTAAAATTGAGATCACGATTATTTAGGACGATTTTTCTATTTATTTGTTTTTATTCAGTCATAAAATTGCTCAGGGCACAATCAGGACAAAAATAAATAAGAAACAAGATGATCACTAAAATAACTCCTGATTCCCAGTATAAAAAGACCAGTATACTTACAGCTCATAGTCTATGACCCAAGGGTTATAGGCCTTGGTTTAACTCATGTAAGTCTAACCAGTACAGACCCAAATACCAATATCTTGCAAATACTGACAGCAAGAATTATACAGTGGCATTTTTAACAAATAAATGCAAATAAATTGATGTTCACAAAATGTTGCATAATACGTATTGAGTCGTGTCAAGGTGCTGTAGGAGCGTGCACTAGCACCGTGTCCTCAGAGAGATTAGTTATTATTTATCAGCGTGAGGAACTTATTTCTACCTTATTTATAAACTATTTATTTACAAGTCCATCAGTTAATGTAATAATTGTCCCAACCACAGCTGCACCCCCCACCCCCCAGCCCGGTCTCACAGCAATCAGGGGCAAGCTGCACGTGTGTTTAGCGCGCCGCACGCGCACATTTAGCCGTTTTTAGCGGCTCAGGACCCCGCAGGTGCGGTGTGTGTGTCACTCACTCTGGTTACTCCAACAGGGAACCGGCTTTGAGAGCCGTTTCTTTAGCGACCGACACATCACTGCATCATTCCCTTTCCTAATGTCCTGAAGAACGGTCCGGAGCGCAGGCGGAGTGTTTAGCTAACCTGCAGGAAATGTCAACGACAGTTATCCAGAAAGTAGCTAAGGGTTACCAGAGATGTTTCTGAGGTGTTCGCTAGGTACTTTTAAGATTTGAAAGGTCAAGAAGGGGGTCTGAAAAGCTGCTAGAAATAGCGTCAAAGTCGCCAAGTTGGTAACACTGTGGGAGGAGCGCTTCATTTGTAACTCGGGGCAGCGCAAGTGGGAGGAGCAAATAATCGGCTTGTTTTGTTTTTTATAATCGTTCAAAACTCAGATCGTCATCGTGATTAAAATTCGATTAATTGAGCAGCCCTATTTGCATTTTATTTTATCATGCACAGATTTGCTTGAACCGCACGTGTTGGTGTATTTTTCTTCTTCTCAGAGTTCCTTCCAGTTGCAGAAAACTTCAGTTTCTGTTTGGTAACCCTTCTGTCAGATGTGGCTCAAAGAGATCCGGGCTTCCAACTAGAGGTCAGCTGAGAAAGCATCGATTTTATTAGATTAATAGCTAAAAAGTAACTTTATAAGTTATTTATCCTGTTTTTTTCCCCCTGAAGATCTTAAACACCGTACTGGAGGTCATGCAGACATTACAGAAGATGTGCCAAACACCTGATAATCATGATAAAGGTAACATAAAAACATATGCTGTTGTCTCACAAAATAAAGAGACAAAGTTTGCAAATGTTCTGTTTTTCAGTTTTCCTGTGCAGATATATTGTCCCAAGTCTGCTTGGCATAACTCGAGCGTTCGGTCGCTACAGCAACACAGAAGAAGCTCTGTTGTCCAAGTTGTTTCCAAAGGATTTGCCTCAGGCCCGCTGCGTCACAGAGGAAAACGAGGGAGTACGGCGTCGATCCTTCAATGACTTTCGTTCTATTTTGCCACCCTCGCTGCTCACAGTGTGCCAGAGTGACACTCTGCGCAAACGCACCGGGACTAAACTGGATTCCTCCGTGCAGGTGAGTGTGTGTTGCGAGGCGGAGTTGTTTTCATCTGATTTTTCAAACTTTCTGAACATTTGCAGCACTGCTTTGCTGCATATTTTTTCGTTTTAAGTTACAAACAAGGGAAATGTTGTGCTGGTGATTTAAGAAATGTTCTTAATGTGTTTCAGATCTCCACAGATCCAGCAGGTCACTCACCCTGCTCTCCTACAGCACCTAGTCCACATTACTTTGAAGGTAAAAGTCAACATGCACACATTCCTTTGATTACGGTTTTCTTACTACTTTGTCACATAGTTTTGGAAGGCGTCAATTTCTAAAAATAGTCTATAAAAAAGTCTAATTGTCATGAAAATACACCGTTAGATGTACCGATTCCTTGCACCAAGAAGGTTTTAGGTCAGGACTGAACAATTTTAGAAAAAGTTCAAATTTCAATTTGATTCACAATTTCCTTCAAATCAAGCTGCAGCACATTTTTAAAGGGACTTTACGGAGTTTTGAATTTTTATGCTTGCGATCGCCCCCTCAGGCCAAAAGCGTTACAGCAGCTTCAATAGTAGGCTCATGCACGAGGCACGCATGCTGTACGTGCACACTCCTTAACGAAAATAACAGCTGAGACAGTCACGTGTGTGTGTGTGTGTGTGGCCCGGAGGTTCTGTACCTTTCTCTTCAGCACAGCCGACAAAGGTTTATGATGGGTCAGTCCTCCTGCATGCTCAGATCATTCCCTTCCCTTGCTTGAAAAATTGTTCCAAAATGAAAGTTGAACCCACATCTTTTTATCTGTGAATTCAATACCGTTCGGCGAGTCTCAAATAAAAATTTGGGCATCTTACTGTAAAAAAATATACCATTAATGTAAAAAAAACTCTAAATAAACTATGTTCACACCCAGAATCAAACCCAGGTCTTCTGCATGAGAGTCAAACATCTTACTAGGTGAGCTACACTCTAGTAACATTCACAGTATCTATAACATTTATATCCTTGATGACAGCTGAAACAACGTCAAACCAAAGAACGGTTCGGAGTGAAAATGGCTATTTTGTTGCTAATTAGCAGGAAATATCTAGAAGAAAGTTCTACAGAAAGTAGCTAAGGGTCCTCAGAAATGTAGCTAGCTTTGTCACTAGGCGTTAGGAACAGCGACAAAGTGGCACTGCCTCTCTCTCTGCTGCTAAAGCTACGGATAGCAAATGCTACGGGCGATGCCTGAGCGTGAACGCGCATGAAGCAGCCTGCTCGACCCGAGCATCTCTCTTTTTCTGTGATTTTACAGAAAAACAGGCAATCACAGTAAAAATGCCAGGGCTCATTCTACAGGACCAGGGCATTGCAGGAGAACGTATGAAGAAGACATTTATTATTTCTATACATGTTCTGGCTGTCAGACTTCCATAATGCCCCTTTAACAATAAACATTTACAAACATGACAGGAAATGACATGCTAAAATCAAAACGCAAAACCTATTACCGTATTTTCTGAACTATAAGCCGCTACTTTTTCCCACGCTTTGAACGCGGCTTATAATGAGGTGTGCGGCTTTAAAAGGATGGATGTTGGAAAGGAGTACTACAGAAAGCGCCCCAGAGGATTTTTTCACAGTAAAACGGCGCTGCATGTTTTCTCCGCTTCACCCCGGGATGATGACAGCAACACGGAGAGCGACACTGACAGTTAAACTACGTTTTCAATTCAGTAGATATCTGCCTCTTTTAGCCCGATGAGGTGCGCTCTGAAGTCCGGAAATTACGGTATTTTAACTCATTCACTGCCAATGACGACTAAAGTCATAATTTTAAATCCAACCGGTCAGTGCCAAATTGGCATGTTTTTACTGTGTGGGCATCAGAACGAGCCCCCGCACCGTGAGAACAAACATCTCAGCTCTAAAGCCGATCTTCATCCGCACGTCACGTGATCAGGAAGCAGAACATCCATGTCACAGAACGTTGTGCGCTAGCATGATGTCGATGCCAAAACAACCAAAACAAAGCGAAGACTCACCTCTTCTATCAGGAAGAATCCGCGTGTTTCGAGCGTTATCCGTTCTTTCATAATCCGTTGTTGAATTGTGATCGGCAGACGCTTTTCCGGTTCGCGCCTCACTTTTTTTTACAGGAACGGCCCAAAACGATCTCCTAATACATAGATGGTCTGCTTCCGATCATGTGACGTGTGACGTATGTGGATGAAGACCGGCTTCAGGGCTGAGATGTTTGTTCTCTCAGCGCGGGGGCTCGTTCCGATGCTCAAACAGTAAAAAAATTCAAACGACGACTTTAGTCGTCATTGGCAGTGAATGAGTTAAAAAGGTTAAGGATAAAGTCTACAAGTAAGAATTGCTTTCAGATGTATTTTAAAATGTAATGTAAATGACCTCAGCTGTTGCAGGAAGTGGGTGAATCAGCCTCTCCATCTCACACTTGTGAACGGTACCAAATGAGGGACAGACAAACTCAGCTATTAGAAAATTGACCGTAGCAGGGCCACGAAAAGAAAAACAACAGAAAAAAGACCAAATGCACCGCTCATTCAGCTCAAGCATCAGGCTCCAGCAACCCACACCCAACATTCTCTGACAACGTAACACTTTTACAACCTGGGAGAATCCTGGACGTGTAAAACAGTTGACACAACAGATCCTGGGTCAGTCAGGAGCGATACAAAACAACGGCAGCTTTGACGGTCACGTAGAGGTGGGTGATATACCGAAATTAAATGAATGAATCAATCAATACTTTATTAATCCCAGAGGGAAATTAGAGTTTCAGTACACACAATTCAGAGATCAGACATACATGGGCAAGACACATGACAAGAATTGGTGACTGTGGTCATTCGCAACCCGAGTCGCGCTACCTTAATAGAGATCAGAGGGTTACATGAGGATTGGTTCAGGTGGAGGGAAAAAAAGGCACTTCAGAGTTACCCTCCACCAGGAGGGCAGCTTTGCTCTGCAAAAAAACACCTCAGACAGATAAGCAACAGACTTCAGACAACGCAACACAACATGAGACTCCAATAGGAGGAGGAGGGGAGGGGAGGGGGGGCGGGGATCGTGTTTCCCCCAGCGAGAGCAGCCATCTACGGCGCTCATCTACTGTACAGTCACAGGTGGGAGGGAGACCTTGGGAGAGAATGTACTGATAATAAAATGTACGTCTAATACCGATGTTATTTGCCCATGTGGATATGTTGGGTAGATGATGGATGGTTCAGCCCTGTTGTAGGTTACAGCTACGGCTGTTTTGTCTAGTTTGTGTGCTCCTCTCATGCATGTGTAGGTTTCCTTTGTGTGCTCTGATTTCCTCCCACAGACCAGAAAGATGCTGCCAGGGTCCGAAATTAACACTCGCCACTCGCCAAATGCGAGCAAATTGCTCCATTTGGCGAGTAAATTTTTGAGCTCTATCTGCCACATAGCGAGTAAATGTTTGCACCAAATGAGTTATATTTATCAGTCATCTTCCATGGATTTCTGTGATCCTCCTCCCGCCTGCATGCAACGTACACAAACGTACGCGAAACGTGAGCGCCGCATCCAACGTCATTTCCGCCTATCCCATTCAATCAGTTTATCAAGTTAGCAGTTAGCTTCGTGTTAAAACTAGCGGTGAAATGTGGCGGTTTTTAACTGGAGTCAGCCAGCCTTCCAAAAGAAAACTCCTCGAACTGGAAGAAAAACCACCAGGACCAGTGGCAACCAGAAGATTTTGTGAAAAGTGGCGAACTGGAGATGGCGGAGTCGTGAGACAATGGCTACATTATAAACCAGAATCTGCGCAAATGAGCTGCACCGTTTGCCGCCAGCACGCTCGAGAGAAGAACTGTAACAACTCGTTTGTCATAGGAAATAAGACAATGAAGCTTGAGACTATTCGAGAACATGAAAACAGCAAATGCCAAATTGCCTGCACATCCATGTCCCGGGCTCAATCTGAGTCTCTACTAGGGATGGGTACCGAATTCGGTACCTTTTAAGGTACTGACCGAATTCCATAGTACCGACTGAGCACCGATTCACGTCATTTGAAACGGTGCCTCGTTTCGGTACCCGTCTTTCATAACGAGAACTTGCCTAGACAGCTGCGCATGCGCAAGAGCGTTATGTCGTCGGTCGCTGCGCGCGAGTTGTAAACAGAGCAGCATGGTAGAAAGAACGCACGCTAAAGCTTGGGTCCACTTCACTAAATGTGATGGGTAACTGGGTGATAATGAAACCAGCGACAACGATCTAAGTGAGACATCCTCATCTTAATCTGCTCCGGTAGGTAAATAAAATATTTAAGATAACGTTAGCTTGATATGTTAGCTTCTGTTCCGCTAATGGCGCATTCGCTTTCTCCTCGGAACTCCGAAATTCCGACTAGAAGAACATGAACGCGCTCTAAAGTTTGGCTTCACTTTACTAAATGCGACGGGTGATTGGGTGAAGATGAAACCAGCGACAACGATCTAAGTGTGAGGCATCATCGTTTTAATCTGCTCCAGCAGCTAAATAAACTGTTTTAGATAACGTTAGCTTGATATGTTAGCTAATGGTGCGTTCGCTTTCTCCTCGGAAATTCTAACTTCCCAGTAGGAAAAATCAAATGAAAAAAGACGGTAAAAGGAATGAAGATACACAGTAAATTTAGTTCACAGTAAAGATGTTTGCTTCAGTTTAATTATCAGCTTATAAAACTACAAGGACGATGTTAAAATACAAACAGTTGTATGTTATTTATCGTGATATTTATCAAACATGGTTATATATTGAGAAAAATATATATTTAATTATAAAAGAGAATTAAAATATTAAACACTCAAAAGTATCTAAAATTGGTACCGTTAAGTACCGGCATCGATTCCTAGGTACCGGGAATTAGTACCGAATCGATTCAAATGTCAAAGGTACCCATCCCTACTGGTGACACCCACGGTCCCGGCGCTAATGGCTATGTCAGAGAAAACAAGGAGTCTGACTAGATTTCAATTAAAGAGTTCATAAAAACTTCTCTAAAAAATAAATAAATAGTAAAATGACAAAAGAGTTGTTTTTCTTATTAATTAATGTTTTAATTATTTTGCCCCTCCTCTCTGTTTGGAATCAACATAATATAGAATAACATGCTTTAGGTAGATCTAAATCTTTTAGAGTTTTGGCTGGTAGATTTTCATCATCTACCAGCCAACTTGGCCGGTGAGTCATAAATTTTATTTCGGACCCTGAACATGCATATTTAGCTTCATCCTAAACCGTGCCTAGACGAGAGTGAGTGTGACAATGGTCTTCTGCCTCATGCGTTTCTCTGTGATGGACCAATAAACTGTCCAGGGTGTCCTCTGCTTCTCACCCAAGGTGTGCTGACGGTGGACATCAGCTTCCTGAATCCTGTGCACGAAGAAGCAGTTACAGAAGATGAATGAATGAATGTTCCGCCTCTTTTACAACATGTTGTTATTATTCACAGGCTCCTATCTTCCGGACAGCAGCACGGTAGACCCTGACTACTACATCTCCACTGTCAGCTCCAGTTTCTCCGTGTCTCCTCTTTTTATGGGAGCAGGTGAAAAGGAGGTGGAGGTTCCCGTAGACCAGCTGCGACAGCTCCTTAGCTTGGTGAAGTGGCTCTCCAACTCTTTACTACCATTCTCCCTCAGTTCAGAATCAGATAGCCACAACCTTTACTTTGTGTGTGTTTGTTGTCCGTTTACAGGTGAAAAACGTTGTTTCTGAGTCTTTTTTGAAAACTCTGGACGCTACTATGACAGAAGTGATGGAGGTGATTTACCTGCTGCTGTCCTGTGCAGAAACAATCTAATCTGAAGTTTCATTCAGATTATTTTGGATTAAATAATTTTCTGTTTTTGTCTTTTTATTATAAAGTCCAAATCTGGGATCAACTTCCATTACAAAACCTTCAGCGATCCTCTCTATGTGTGTGTGTTCAAAATGCTGCGGGACACGTTATACAACGTGAAAGGTCAGCCATCTTTGATTCTTACGCTCTCAGCCTTTTATGTTCCCTCATGCTTGTTGCACGTAGTTAAAACTCCCTCGTTTCGTCCTTCCAGCCATTCAGCCGACATTTGTGCGGGAAGTCCACGACTTTGTGCTCGAGCAGTTCAGCAGCAGTCAGTCAGAGCTGCAGCGGGTGCTTCATGACACGGGGGGGCTGCTGGGGGAACAGAGCCCCCTCAAGCTGCGTTGCCAAGCCAACGCTGCCTGCGTGGACCTCATGGTGTGGGCAGTCAAAGATGAGCAAGGTAATTAGTTGTGGTGGAGGGAGCTGTGCAGTTCAGATGCTGTTATCAGAGAGAGGCTGGTGGAGTTACTGGTTCTGTATGTGTCACCTTTACCCCTGGCGGTGGTTTATTTTTTCCAGGAGCTGAGAATTTGTGCACCAAACTGTCAGAGAAGCTTCAGTCAAAAACCTCCAGCAAAGTCATCATTGCTCACATGCCCCTGCTCATCTGTTGCTTACAGGTAACCGTGTTTAAAAATGGGTTTAATGACACTGATTTGCTAAATATTTCTAATGAATTGTCACAAAGCAGCGTGGCATAGTTGCCTCGCAGCAAAAAGGTTGCAGGTTTGATTCCCGCTGAGGACTTTCTGCGTGGAGTTAGCATGTTCTCCCTAAGCATGTGTGGGTTGTCCCCGGGTTCTCCAGCTTCTTTTTGGGTTTGGCGGTGTAATGATTTAAATTACATGTTAAGGCGTAGGATTCCATAGGAAATATGAAATCCACCTCACGGATCTGTGAGGTTATTTAAACCAGAAGATTGGATCTTTTTAATGCAGGGATTAGGTAACAGCTTCGTATTCACTCAGAGACAACAGAAGAGAGAGTCAAGTTTAAAAGTTAGGAATTTTATTACTATCAAATTAAACTAGACTGACTTTAAGCACTAATTGTATGGTGTAACTAATGTGGATGGGACGGTGAATGGATGACGTGTGATGTTGATCAGAACCGGCAAATCCGAAGCTGCGATTAGTTCTGATGGGAACTGAAGGTGATGTCTTCGCGTTAAGCTTTTATTAGGAGATTCATAAACACATTCAACGCCATTTGCCGGTCTACCTACCCTTCAGGAAGTCCTCTTTAGATCAGGAATGTCGAGGTCCAGCTTGACCTTCTCTGGAACCGAGCCGGTAGGAAAAGCAGCGGTTGCCGACCAGTCCAGTCTGTGAGTTACTTCCGGGTCACGACAGTTTGTTGGCATCTGGTGAGACCCGTGCCTGGGTCTTGATGGTTCAGCTTTTATTTTGAAAGGAACCGTTGCAGGAGTTGGAACAAAAACGAATTTTCCAGCTTGTCGTTCTTTTGGTTGAAGAGGAAAGTTACGGATTGGCCACTCCGACAACTTCTCTAGAACGCTTTGAACTGGCGTTAAAGATGACGTGGGCATAGTTTTATACTTGGGATGTTTTGGTTTATGGTTGAATGAAAAGATGACAGATTTAACAAGCACCACCAAAACCACGCCTCCGTCAGATCTGGCAGATTCTGATTGGATCAGTAAAGCAATGTGTCATGTCTTAACGCTACGTGAGATCAGTCCTAGTGGAAACATTTAAAGTCATATTACTTATTATATTATATAGGATTATAATAAAGTAATTAATATTTTGATTTCACAGGTCGGTCACATCTTATTTATTGACTAACACTTTGTTTGATTAGCTTATTAAAAATAGAGTTCTTTGATTAATTAAAAGAAAAGAGTTCATTCTTCATTCTTCTCTTGAGCTGAAAATAAGCAGTTTAGAAGGAATGCATGAGACCTTGAGGCCATATCTCATGCAGACTAGTTCTGTGCAGAGGAGAGGGGGAAAAACTGTCATTTCATTCCGTTACAGCGGCCCTAAATTGCACCTAGGCGTTAGTATGAACGGTTGTTTGCCTCTGTGGGGCTTTGTGATGGACTGGGGACTTGTCCAGGGTGTCCTCTGCCTCTTTCCGATGACTGCTGGAGTTGGACACCAGTTCCCTACTGAGGATTAAGCGGTTCAGATAATAGATAGACGGATGTCTTTCACAAAGCACGCAAATCTAATCATTTTTGTTCCTGATTGTCTCTTCCCCGTCCTCAGGGCCTGGGCCGCCTGTGTGAGAGGTTTCCAGTTGTTGCTCACTCTGCCACGACCTCTCTCAGGGATTTCCTGGTGGTTCCTTCCCCAGTCCTTATAAAACTGTATAAATATCACAACCAGTACAACACAGGTACATATGGTCGACACTGTTGCTTCATGTCCACCTCTAAACGGACTCGCTGCTCTCCCTGTCAATACAGGCAGTAAGATATTATTCAAAATATTTTGTAAAGCAGAATTTTGCATTAAAAGTTGAATAATTTTGTACATTTTATCAGAAAGGATTATTGTCACTGTGTTTTAGCTGAGGTGAACCTGCACCTTCTGCATGATGAAAGGTTTAATCCAAAGTAGCCCTAAAGTTTTGCATTAAAATGAAATAGACATAAATACAGGGTATCTGCAGGTCCTTAAAAAGTCTTAAATTTGCTTTTCCAAAGTTAAGGCCTTAAAAATCCTTAAAAATGACAAATAATCCTTAAATACAGTTTCCAAAGGTCTTAAATTACCATAGACCCAATAAACAAGATTCTTTTATTTCTATAAAATTTTCATGAATTTCTAGTTAGTGTTCAGCATTTTTTGTGTACGATGTTGCCGTAAGCGGAACCGTACACCTTCAGTTGGTTGTGAAAGGGGGCTATTTTTAGTTGAGCACATTAGCTGGTTAAGCTAGCGGGAGCTTGCGCCATGGGGAAGTGCAAGTTTAATGGTAACTGGATGGCTAATCCCACGATCGCAGCGTGGTTAGCACCGGCTCCAGGCAACAGCTGGAAATTATAGCTTAAATTTAATATAAAAAAAAAAGATAAATGACCCGCACTTGTATAGCGCCTCTCAGAGTAAGGACTCCAAAGCGCTTTACACTACAGTGTATCATTCGTCCATTCACACACTGATGGTGATGAGCCACGATGTAGCCACAGCTGCCCTGGGGCGCACTGACAGAGGCGAGGCTGCCGAGCACTGGTGCCTCCGGTCCCTCCGACCACCACCAGCAGGCAATGTGGGTTAAGTGTCTTGCCCAAGGACACAACGACAGCAGAATTCTCTGTCAGGAACCAGGATCAAACCTGCAACCTTCCGATTACTGGACAACCCGCTCAACCTGTTGAGCTACTGTTGCCCTGCTGAAAAAGCTTAAATTTGGTCAAAGTGGCCTTAAAAAAGGTCTTAAAAACTCTTAAATTTGGCTCCCTTAAACCTGCAGGTACCCTGTAAATAGCAGTATTTCCAAATCCTGAAGGTTTCTACATCCCGTATTCGGCTGTTTATCATGGCTGCAAAAATAATTGTAGCCAAAAGTAAATGTGACAAGACGGATGGGACTAATGGCATGAGGGCATATAGTCAACATCAATAATAGGATCTCTGTCACATCCGAGCCGTCGATCACTGATCGGAAAACAAACCGATTCAGACAGATGACGATATGGATTTGTTTTTCCAGTGCTGTCCCCAGTGGCTATTGCCCATTTATATGTTTATAGAGGTGCTGAAAAAAATGGATTCAAGTCTGAATCGGGATTCTTATTTATAAAGGTTCAGAATCGATTCCAAGAACTCAAATATTTGGCATGTTACATGTTTGAGATGCACTTTTTTGGTCTTTGTTAGGAGAGTCAGTACTCCGTTTACTTTTGTGGTCCCATAAATTGAGATGATGTATGTTTGAATCTGCTGATAAGAGGGAGCTTGAATGTAATTTTTCCCATACTCAGAAATTTGAGATATTCTCATATTTATTTTCTAAGTAGATAAACGAGTACTCAGGATTACTCATGTAACTTGTTTCTACACATACTTGAAAAGTATTTGACCGTATTACTTTCAAAGCTACTGTTAGGTAACTACAGATTTGTTATATTTTACAAGGTAAGCAAAAATAAATGTTGCCTTTTGGTCAAAAGATTGTTTCTGTTTACAGTTTTAGAATCACTTTAGTTTACCTTGTAAATTTGCATTTTTGGAGCACGACCAGTTTAAAGTCAAATAAAAATGTCCCACAGCTTTAACTAACTTGTACAACAAAGTAGTTCATCCTGGATCTCTTAGGTGTGTTCTTGCTGTGTCGTATCTCTAATCCCATGCTGTAGTTCTTTTTTAAAACACAGAGCAGTTTTGTTTACCTGTTTTCCTAGCGGGAAAACAGGTAAACAAAACTCCTCTGTGTTTTAAAAAAGAACTACAGCATGGAGTTCATCCTGGAGCTGACACTCTTTGTTAATACTGATTGTGAATCGATTTAAATTGAGAATCGATTCTGAATCGAATCGGCACACCGAGAGTTAGAATCGAATCAAATCGTGAGTTGCTCTAAGATTCACATCCCTATATGTTTACCTTCTAAATTTGAGATAAGCTCCTCAATTTCTACTGTCTGCAGAATAATTTATTCAGGATTTTCTCTTGTGTCGTGACAATTTCAAAGGCACTGGCGAGATAAGGATAAATGTGACGAACGAGCATTCTCAGTCAACTCTCAGTGTGCTGGCCAGCAAGAAGGACCAGCCCTCCATGTACGAGCAGCTGAGAGACATTTCTATCGACAACGTCTGCAGGTCAGACAGAAACACACCAGCTGCATTTAGACATTTTATCATTGATAAAAGTGCTCTTCATGTTGATCGTTTGTGTTCTCCTCTTTCAGATGTCTGATAGCCGGTTTGACGATGGACCAAGTCATCGTCGAGGCATTTTTAGCCAGTCTGTCCAACCGCCTGTACATTTCACAGGAGAACGATAAGTGAGCAGCGCGTCTGATGGAGAAAAAATAATGAGGCCGTTTAGTTCCCTAAAATCTGTCCAAGTTCAGCTGACTCAGAGCAGTTTTAAAAATACGACTTGTCCTTCTGCCAGGGATGCTCATTTGATTCCAGATCACACCATCCGAGCACTGGGACACATCGCCGTAGCTCTGAGAGACGCTCCAAAAGTCATGGAGCACATTTTACAAATCCTTCAACAGAAGTTCTGCCAACCTCCGTCGCAGCTTGATGTCCTCATCGTAGACCAGCTGGGCTGCATGGTCATCACAGGAAATGTACGAACGAAGCCTCTGTGATTACATCAGTCTAGAGCTGTTGGCCTCAGTGTTTTCATTTATTTATTTATTCCTGATTGAAGGTCGATACGAAGGTTTATGTAACTATCAGGAAAGTTTAATAGATATTATTATGCTTATTTAAATCTAAATTAGCATAACCCTTTCCTTATGTCAGATGATGCACTATAATTACTCTGTTGACTGGTAGGTACTTAATCATGCAGCACAGTGTGCACAAATAGCATGTTCCTGCCTTCAAGCTGACAACCCAGCAGGCCAATCTTGGATGTGATAAACTACATTTAATGATTATAAATAGATGCGCTCCCTGATAATTGGCGTGTTATTGCGTGTGTTTTTTTGTCTTGTAGCAATACATCTACCAGGAGGTGTGGAATCTGTTCCAGCAGATCAGCGTGAAAGCAAGTTCAGTGGTTTATTCAGCCACCAGAGACTACAGAGACCACGGCTACAGGTCAGCTTCTGGTCTTGAAACAAATATTTTTATACCAGTTGCACAAAGGGACATATACAGTTGAAGTATTCTTATTTAAATGGGTCATAGAACAACAACAACTGGAAAGTTTTCTGTGAGTGATAAATGGGTTTATACAGTGCCATAAGACTGATTATGGATCTATATGTCATTCATTCAAAGATTAGATATTCCCAGTACATCCTGGAACATTACATGTGTGCTCTGATATTCTTCTTTGTTGTTTTCCTCTTGCCTTACAAGGACATAGCAGTAGCTTGGGCTAGCAATAGCTGTTGCTCAGGGTAGCATTAGCAGTGCTTATGGTAGCGTCAACTGTAGCTTGGGCTAGCATTAGCAGTAGCTTGAGCTAGCATCAACTGTAGCTTGGGCTAGCATTAGCAGGGGCTCAGTGTAGTATTAGCAGAAACTCATGCTAGCTTTAACAGTAGTTTGGGATAGCGTTAGCAGGAGCTCAGGATAGTGTCAGCAGTAGCTCGGGCTAGCATTAGCAGTAGCTTGAGCTAGCATCAACTGTAGCTTGGGCTAGTATTTGCAGGGGCTCAGGCTGGCATTACCAGAAGCTCATGCTAGCTTTAACAGTAGTTTGGGTTAGCATTAGCAGTAGCTTGAGCTAGCATCAACTGTAGCTTCGGCTAGCATTAGCAGGGGCTCAGTGTAGTATTAGCAGAAGCTTATGCTAGCTTTAACAGTAGTTTGGGATAACGTTAGCAGGAGCTCAGGATAGTGTCAGCAGTAGCTTGGGCTAGCATTAGCAGTAGCTTGAGCTAGCATCAATTCTAGCTTGGGCTAGTATTAGCAGGGGCTCAGGCTAGTATTACCAGAAGCTCATGCTAGCTTTAACAGTAGTTTGGGATGGCGTTAGCAAGAGCTCAGGATAGTGTCAGCAGTAGCTCGGGCTAGCATTAGCAGTAGCTTGAGCTAGCATCAACTGTAGCTTGGGCTAGTATTAGCAGGGGCTCAGCCTAGTATTACCAGAAGCTCATGCTAGCTTTAACAGTAGTTTGGGATAGCGTTAGCAGGAGCTCAGGTTAGTGTCAGCAGTAGCTCGGGCTAGCATTAGCAGTAGCTTGAGCTAGCATCAACTGTAGCTTGGGCTAGTATTAGCAGGGGCTCAGCCTAGTATTACCAGAAGCTCATGCTAGCTTTAACAGTAGTTTGGGATAGCGTTAGCAGGAGCTCAGGATAGTGTCAGCAGTAGCTTGGGCTAGCATTAGCAGGGGCTCATTGTAGTATTAGCAGAAGCTCATGTTAGCTTTAACAGTAGTTTGGGATAGCGTTAGCAGGAGCTCAGGATAGTGTCAGCAGTAGCTCGGGCTAGCATTAGCAGTAACTTGAGCTAGCATCAACTGTAGCTTGGGCTAGCATTAGCAGGAGCTCAGCCTATTTACAGCAGTAGCACGGGCTAGCTTTGTTCTGCTGTTAGCATTAATGTCACCAACATTTATATGTCGCTGATGTGATGAGTGTCTATGCCTATGATGTGTTAAATCAGTTTTTCTCACACCGCTTCTCTGTAGCCATTACACCATTATTAATTTACATAGGAAAGGAGGCCAGAGACAGAACAGAGTTTTGGGTACATTAGTCACCCCCATGCTGCCTGTATTCAACAAGGTAAATGCAGTTTTTAAATATAGGACCATATGTGAGCAAGTCAGAACATTCTGTGCAAGAAAATGGAAAACACTTTCTGAAAAAACAAAGACATCTGTTTTGGAGCACAGCCTCTTATGCATCACTTTAATGTTTTCTTCCTGTCTCCCATTGCACCAGAGTCATGCAACACTAGCTACATTTGCCTAGCCTTAAAACTGGTTAATGTTTCATTGACACTTTCTGCAGAATGCCTTCCCTCTAAAACTCTCACTCTGATCTTACTGTGATCATCATGCTGCATCATCCACTGACGCAGAACAGAAAAGACTCTAGAGCACATTTTGCAAACTTAAACTTAACATCTTCAAATGTTTCTCCATCCATGCTGCTTTTCCATCCAAGGCACTGCTCTCTGGCTGTGATCAATGCTTTAGCCAACATCGCAGCCAATCTGCAGGGGGAGCAGATGGTAGATGAATTGTTGGTGAACCTTTTAGAACTGTTTGTCCAACTCGGCCTGGAAGGAAAAAGAGCAAGCGAGAGGGCCTCTGACAAGGGACCAGCTCTGAAGGTACGTGCTTCAATGCCCACCATAAAAAAAATCACAACAGCCGTTTTGTAAAATGTTAATTGTTCTTTATTTCTGCCCAGGCATCAAGTAGTGCTGGAAACCTTGGAGTCCTTATCCCAGTGATTGCTGTGGTGAGTTTTATGTTCATTTTCTGCAGGAGTTTATGTTGAAATTCAAATTTAAACATGATTTTGTGAGAATTGGAAATTTACAGATGAGTTGAAAGTGTTAAGTTTTAAATATATTAACAAGTTTTGAGCTGGTCTAGACATCTGTGCCACCAGTTTACTGTTAAACATTGTTATATTGACAGATTTTAAGTAATGTAAAATATTCACATTTTCTTCATCACAATAAATGGAAACGAAACCAAAATCAAGAGATAATATAACAAATGTTATTTTTATTGAGTAAACTATTTGACTTCTGTTTTTTAAATGATCATTTGAGCTTAAGCTTTAGCTCACCAGCGGTTACATAACATTATTCTTTGCTCACTTCTCCACTGGCTTTGATGCAAATCATGAAACATTAACAGAAAACAAGCGACTCGTCACTTTAGGAAGTTCATTCAGAATTCACCAAAACGCATGAAGACTCCTAAAACACTAAATGTGTTTTCTATAAGTAAGACAACACAGAACTTCTAAGCTACACACATAATTTGTGGTGACTAGTTAAGCCGTTCAGTTCTGTGAGGGATTTACCACCCGGCCAATGAACACCAGGCAGTCGGTGCGGTGCTCGTAGATCAGGAAGAGGAACGGATGATCCACAATGAAGCGGATCTGAGAGGAGAGCGGCATGAAGCCCACTTGGGTCAGAGCAGCAGCCTCTGTTCCCTCCTCGTTCACGGTGATGGTGCCCTGGTGCTTCAGCTGTGCAGCAAGATCAACACCTATCACAACAGCGCTCGGCGCTTGTTTTTACCAGCAGTCTTGTTGTACTCACCCAGTTCAGGACAACCTTTTCTGAAGTCATTCTACTGAAATCTCCACTCGCCTGGAAGATGTCCGTCAGGCCCATTTTCTTCAAACTGTCAATCAGGTCATAGTTTTGCTCCAGTTTAAACCGAGGTATCGAGACCTCACGTGTTCTGAAGGGAGGCAAAGATTAGTGCTTTTTTTTCAAAGTATTCGCTAAAAGAACATTTTACTGAAACATTTACTTACTACAATTAATCTTTTCTCTCTTTGCTACAATTCCTATTTATTCCTAAAGTATTACAAATCCTGTAGTAATTCCTGTTTGAACCATCTGGTGGACCTTAATATCGACCACTCATAAAATGTGTGATTTGGTGTCACAATTCTAGACAAACACTGGAATGTTACATGTGTGCTCTGACGTTCTTCGTTTGTTTTCTCATTCTTCAAGGACGTTAGCAAAAGCTTGGGCTAGCGTTGCTCTGCGGTTGACATTACTGCGACCAACGTTAATATGATGCTGGCACTTAGGTGGATTGGGACTAGGGTTGTCACGATACTAAAATTTCAAACTCGATTCGATACTTGAAAAAAACTCGATGCTCGATTTCGATACTATTTAAAAACACCAATTTATCGAACAAGTTTATTCAAAAAATAACATTCCTCAATTTATATTGCAAAAATTAAATGTTAAGAGTGTATTAAGTGCTTAAACCTTTCAAGTATCAGCATTTTTTAAAACGTGCATACAAAAACTGGTGAAAGTTAACACTTTAAATCATGAATTGTCTCACTATATATACACTATTTGCAGAGTGATATTTTGCTGCTTAAACTCTGTTTAAGGTGCATTTTTGTCATAAGATGTAATGCCATTTGTTTGTTCTGTACTCTTGAACAACTCTGTTGGTCAATAAAGGGAGAAAACGAATGTCTCCACAGTAGGACAAAGGTACATCTACCGGTAATCTTAATAAAAACAGACTGGCGCACGGCAGTGACGTCATTACAAGCGCCGGTTAGATTAGCCGTGGCTAGTCTGTTCACGCCTAGAAATCCCAGACCAGACCCGCTCCAAACGAACAGGGGAATCATGTTAATGATTCCTAACAAAACCTTTCGACATGAAGATGTTTTGGTGCAGATAATGTCTTATTTCGAGGCTGCACCATGGCTGCCCGTCCGCACCCGTTATATGGATATACACTGATGGCGATTCGCCGATGGGTCTAAAAACCCCGGGGAATCCAAGTAGCACCAAAGTTGTCCGCGTGAGTAAACAAACGTACTGCATGCTAGAAATGAAGTCCGGGTTGCAATAAACGGGAGTTTCCTTTAAGCACATAAGCGTGAATATACAACTACGTGTCGGACTTGGTATGCTAATTAAGTTGGGGTGTGAAGCGCCTCCCAAATTCGCTGTTTATGTTTTTGTTTATTTATTTGGCAGACAAAACTTGGATCGGAGACAACTCGCGTGGGAAACTGCAATGTAGCCATGCGGCGTCTTCTTCTGTTTGTCTGGGAGGCGGAGGCTGCTTTACTGTCGTGCGTGTCGGTGTACTTGAAGAAGGCTGCGTATAATAGTCCATAATATCGATACCACAGGGATGGAATATCTAATTTAGATACAGTATCGATTTATATCTAGGTATCGATTTTTTTGACAACACTAATTGGGACATGCCAATATAACATGGTGTGTCTTAGAAGTAGACCAATGTTCTTCTATAGCCAATACCGACGCTGACATGTAGAGGTCACGGTCAGCTGATGGCTGATATGTGCTGCTGATTTTTGGGGCTGATATCTAGGCGTTTCCACCTTCCGCCATGCTAAAACGTCACTAAAAACTTCAGTTGATGCACATTTCTGAAACTTAATCAGTTTTTAAACACTAAATTTGACCAAGTGACGAATCTTATATTTTATTGCTCAGTGTTGTGCTGGTGAAGGTTCTCAGTCATCCAGGTTGTGGTAATCCAAAAGGGTTGTGGGGAAGGCACCTGGACTTCTTTGGTTTCTTGAAGACATTTTGCTTCTCATTTGAGGAGCTTTGTCAATTCAGACTGGATAATGGGAGAGTCAAGTTTATAAGCTAGGGTTTGAGGAAGCTGCCTGTGTCAAATGGGGAAAAACCTACATTAAATAGAGGAGGAGGCCTCAGGTTTCACCGTTCCAGCACCTATAATGCATCTCTGAATCTAATCCCCAAACAGCTTCAGTCTAGGTCCCACCCGCATGCAACTCAACGACTCCCTCACAATAGAGGCCAACGACTTCATCAGAGGGCAGGGAGGAGGAATAAACAAGTTTCTGCCCGTTAAGCAACAGTTATAGCTCATAAGCTTGACCCTTCCATGTTCCAGTCTGAATTGACAAAGCTCCTCGTAGGAGAAGTGAAACATCTTCAAGAAGTCAAAGAAGTCCAGTTGCCTTCATCTCAACCCTTTTGGATTGCTCAGTGTTAAAATTATACATCAAACTAAAGTTAATCAAACAACTCAGTAAACTGACCAAGTATTGAACATTCAAAACTGTTTTATAAAAGGACATTTTAGTTGAATTTTTTTTAAAGCATTTGTTATGCAGATCTTATTTAAAGAGACTTTTCGGACTTTTGAATTTTTGTGATCACCCCCTCAGGCCAAAAGCGTAACAGCAGCTTCAATAGTAGGCTCATGCATGAGGCGCGCATGCTGTACGTGCACACTCCTTAACGAAAATAACAGCTGAGACAGTCCTGTGTGTGCGTGTGTGTGTATGTGTGTGTGTGGGTGTGTGTGTGGGTGTGGGTGTGGGTGTGGGTGTGTGTGTGGGTGTGTGGGTGGGTGGCCCAGAGGACAGGAGAACATGCAGCTAATTAATTAAATAATTTGGTTCTGTAGCTTTCTCTTCAGCACAGCCGACAAAGGTTTATGATGGGTCAGTCCTCCTGCATGCTCAGATCATTCCCTTCCCTTGCTTGAAAAATTGTTCCAAAATGAAAGTTGAACCCACATCTTTTTTATCTGTGAATTCAATGCCGTTCAGCGAGTCTCAAATAAAAATTTGGGCATCTTACTGTAAAAAAAATCCACCATTAATGTAAAAAAGAAACTCTAAATAAACTATGTTCACATCCAGAATCAAACCCAGGTCTTCTGCACGAGAGTCCGACGTCTTACTAGGTGAGCTAAAGCACCAGTGACGTCCTCAGTATCTGTAACGTTTATATCCTTGATGACAGCTGAAACAACGTCAAACCAAAGAACGGTTCAGAGTGAAAATGGCTATTTTGTTGCTAATTAGCAGGAAATATCTAGAAGAAAGTTGTACAGAAAGTAGCTAAGGGTCCTCAGAAATGTAGCTAGCTTTGTCACTAGGCGTTAGGAACAGCGACAAAGTGGCACTGCCTCTCTCTCTGCTGCTAAAGCTACGGATAGCAAATGCTACGGGCGATGCCTGAGCGTGAACGCGCATGAAGCAGCCTGCTCGACCCGAGCATCTCTCTTTTTCTGTGATTTTACAGAAAAACAGGCAATCACAGTAAAAATGCCAGGGCTCATTCTACAGGACCAGGGCATTGCAGGAGAATGTATGAAGAAGACATTTATTATTTCTATACATGTTTTGGCTGTCAGACTTCCATAATGTCCCTTTAAGAACGTAAAGTCTGCTGCAGCACTGGGCTGCCCAGGAATGTTCCTGTCTTTCAATCGGCTTTACCAAGAAGGAATATCGGTCGGTGCTGATGAAAAAGGGATCTCTAGTCATTTTTGATGGCCATAAAGTGAATCCACAGGCAGAGTTTGTTGCTCAGTTTTTTGTGGTGAAGTACATTTTAAAAAAAAACGTCAGCACAAGAATTGTTAAGCATTCTGAACCACTTCTTGTAACTGTGTTTACTTGTGAACTTTTGCTGACCTGTTAGTCATGTTTACGAGCCATTTGTTAACAACAGTTGAAGATATCTCCTGCTCCAAGGTTCTCATGCCGGTGATCTTCCTTGGCAAGGCAATGAGCATACTGAGGCTTCCTGTGTATGGGAGCTGGAGATAAGGAAGGCTATTACGCTGTGGACTGGTTTATGGGTTACTGTCCAGCACGCTTGTCAAAGTTGTCTGCTCTAAAGTTACCTGGAGAACATCACACTCCAGTTCGTGGTCGGCCGCAGCCAGGTAGTTCCCCTTGTTCAGCATCATCGGTACGCGTACGCTTGTCTTTTCGTTAACTCTGAAGTTTCTGTAGTAGGTTGTTTCCTTTGGGAACTTCTGTTCCCATGTCCCTGTTTACACAATCACAGCACACCAACACACTTGTAGATCTATAAAGAATTGAGCACTTGTTTTTATTTTCCACTCACCTTTGAAGTACAGGTAGTTTAGAAGCATCAGTACCATATTTGGATCCACGCTCTTTAGTGGCTCTCTGATCAGGCCTTTGGTGAGTGTTTCTATGCGACGGTTGGCCTTGGTTAGGAACGTCGGCTCTCTGAAGTTTACCGACTGTGGCTCAGCAAAGTAATAATCTTTTGTTTCTGCGCAGAAGGTGTCTTTCATGGATACGTTCTTCTTTACGTAGACGTCGTTTACGGAGCGGAGCGTGTAACCAAAGTTCCTCCTGAAAAGCCTGTGCGTCAGCTTCCTGAAGAGCTTGTGCACTGTTGCGTTGTCATAGTGATGGCTAGCATTAACAAAGTCAGCAAATCCTAAAACTTCGTAGATCTGATCGTGAGTTTTGGGACCCGCCCCTAAAGACATCATCCCCATGGCGATGGAGATTCCAGCAGGTGCAAGCAGGATGTTGTCGGTTTGGTTGACGTTGTTCCGAAGACTGCGATAAAGGTTGAAGCCAAATCGAGCGTTCACGATGTTGAGTCGCTGAAGGCGGGATCGACCGTGGAACAGCCGCAAGAGTCTGCCCCGGCGGATCTTTGGGTCGGAGGGTTCAGCAAAGATGTCAATGTCCGGCGCTGGTGTGGCTATCTCGTCGATCTCATCCCCCTGACTGGAAAGGATTCATCATCTTATCGTTAACGGTGAATTAATCAGTTCTTTGGTTGTAAAGTGGTATTTCCTAACGAGCATTTAAACATTTTTAAGAACATTTCCAAACATCTTCATTCAAATATTAAAAACTGTGAATGAAAACTTTTATTTTCTCAACTCAAAACCACCAAAACTTACTTGTAATCGTCGCTGCCTGCAGCCAGGATCTTATCAAAATCAATATAATCTTCATCTTCGAAGCCATCAAAGACCAGGTCGTTGGTGACCGTGTTTTCTTTGTGGAACTCCAATGGGATGGCCTCCACGTCTGCTGCGCCTCCTGGTTCTAAGCCTCTGAGGTTTGGTTCGGGGTCGTCGAAGTGAGTGCTGAGGTCTTTGACGCCAGCCTGGGACGGGCCGGCCAGCAGACAGACCACTGAAACGACGGTGATGACCCACATGCTGAAGACGGAGAAATTAGCACTACTCAGGCTGATCTCATCAGTGATTTCTAGGCGTGATGAAAGCATTTTTTAAACGAAGATGCAACGATCTTTTCTGTAGGTAAAATATAAAACGTTTCAGGGTGTTACATGTCTTACCTTCGCTTTGGCTGCTGGGAAGTGCTGTGTTGCTTGTTTTTTAGGACTAAGAATACAGAACTGAACTTTGATGTGTGCTTCTGTTGAACAAATAGACCAGATCAAACAACAGTCCAAAAAGTCAGCTGGATGGCTAAAACCCTTAACTCTTCACTGTTCAGCTCATCTGTCTAATTTATCAATTACTAATCAGAGTTTCCGTGTCTTTATTTGTTCTGGTGTGTGGTGTTTCCATATCTGATGTAACCATATGCAGTCACTCTACATTTTTCACTTTTCTCGTCTGTTTTTGAAACAGTTGACCAGGCGGCTTCCACCGATCAAAGAGGCCAAGCCTCGTCTCCAGAAGCTGTTCAGGGACTTCTGGTTGTACTCTGTGGTCATGGGTTTTGCTGTGGAAGGGTCCGGTGAGTCTACTCATTTCGGTACTGATGATCTTTGCATCTCATGGGAGGCAGATGGACTCAAACACTTTGAGGCCTTTTGACTCCTAAACCACAGGAAGCAGGAAGTGGTAGACGCATGATTGGGACATCCTGTTCTGATGGTCGTTGTCGTCGTCTTCCTCCGCTTATCCGGGTCCGGGTCGCGGGGGCAGCATCCCAACTAGGGAGCTCCAGACCGTCCTCTCCCCGGCCACCTCCACCACCTCCGGCAGGACCCCAAGGCGTTCCCGGACCAGATTGGAGATGTAACCTCTCCAACGTGTCCTGGGTCGACCCGGGGGCCTCCTGCCGGCAGGCAACACATTCTCACACCCTAAGCGTCGGAAACAAACGCTTGGTCAGCCACCCTCCACGTCAGACCCCTGACGCCAAAAGTGCCCTTTTTCGTTACTTATGTGCGAAAAGGGGTTTTTCCCTTATTTGACTGCAGATCCCAATGCAGCGTAAAACTGAAGCCATGGGATGTCCGCTACCGTCGCATCCCAATGCAGCGTTACACTGATGCGATGGAATGTCCGCAGCCAGGGCACCAAACAAGCTCATTGTACCTCACCTTAACCTTATCCTCTTATTTAACCTTCCCCTCACCCCTATCCTAACCTTAACCATCTTGCCAGCGAACACGTTGGTGATGTGTCGATCGCTCTAAAAGCCGGCTCTGTGAAGTGAACGGAGGGAGCCGCCTCATCATTGGTCAGGTTTGGACCGAGCCAACGCGAGGGGGAGGTTTCAACTACCACGGTGGAGGTTAAAAGTAGAGGGTATGTGTAACCTCCCCCTCACCAGATGGTATGTTCTAACGTTCCCCTTGGGCGGCAAATACGAAAATTCACAGTCAGACTCTGACTGTCCGAGTCAGAATGCATGGGAAACAAACGCTTGATCGCAGTGAGAGTAACGTTTTAGGTGGCAAGAGGGTTAAGGTTAGGATGAGGGAGAGGTGAAGGTTATAATAGTGAAACGTTAAGGTTTAGATGCGGTTAAACGAGGTGGTTCGGTGCCGCATCAGCGGATATCTAATCACGTCAGTTTTACGCTGCATTGGGATCTGCAGTTACAAAAAGGAAAAAACCCTTTTCGCACATAAGTAACGAAAAAGGGCACTTTTGGCGTCTGGGGTCTGACGTGGAGGGTGGCTGACCAAGCGTTTGTTTCCGACGCTTAGGGTGTGAGAATGTGTTGCGGCAGGACATGCCCGAAACACCTCCCCAGGGAGGCGTCCAGGAGGCATCCTGACCAGATGCCCAAACCACCTCAACTGACTCCTTTCGATCCGGAGGAGCAGCGGTTCTACTCCGAGTCCCTCCCGAATGTCCGAGCTCCTCACCCTATCTCTAAGGCTGAGCCCGGCCACCCTACGGGGGAAACTCATTTCGGCCGCTTGTATCCGCGATCTCGTTCTTTCGGTCATTACCCAAAGCTCATGACCATAGGTGAGGATTGGGACGTAGATCGACCGGTAAATCGAGAGCCTGGCTTCCTGGCTCAGCTCCCTCTTCACCACGACAGATCGGCTCAGCGTCCGCATCACTGCAGACGCCGAACCAATCCGCCTGTTATGATGGTGTAATCATAAACATCATATTTACAGCTAGTTTGTTTTTAGGTTGAGCTAATCTCTTCAGAGGAGAGATTTTTGTCCTGATGAATGTTTTGTTTTTTCAGGGCTTTGGCCGGAGGAGTGGTATGAAGGTGTGTGTGAGATCGCCACGAAGTCTCCTCTCCTCACCTTCCCCAGTGGAGAGCCTCTTCGATCTGAACTGCAGTACAATTCAGCTCTCAAAAATGACACGGTGACAGCGGTACGGTGTTAAACATCTACATGTTCTAGCTCTATACGCTCCCGGTTTTTGGCTAATACCTTTTCATCCTCCAGGCGGAGTTAAGTGAGCTGCGGTTAACCATTAGTAACCTCCTCGACCCTTCTCCTGAAGGAGCTGCCCTCATTAACAAGCTTGACTTTGCCATGTCGACGTACCTGCTCTCAGTCTACAGACTAGAGTACATGAGGTCAGCTACTATTACAGATCAGCTGACTGTTTTATCTTTCCTCTCAGTGGATTCCTTGACAGATTAAAATTTACAGACTTTGATTCTTTTTCTTTTTTGTCAGGATGCTACGATCTAACGATCCTGACAGGTTCCAGGTCATGTTTCGGTACTTTGAGGACAAAGCCATCCAAAAAGATAAATCAGGTGACTGTTTGCTACCTAATCCACTTTGGCTACGTTAAAATCTGTTTTTGAATTTGCCAACTTCCATTTAAATCCTTGCAGGAATGCTGCAGTGCATTATTTGTGTTGGTGATAAGGTGTTTGATGTCTTCATTCAGATGATGACTAAGAAGGTAAATAGCATTGAAAATCTCATATTTTAAGATAAAAATATATTATAAGGAAATTTTAAAGGGGCATTATGGAAGTGTGACAGCCAAAACATGTATAGAAATAATAAATGTCTTCTTCATACATTCTCCTGCAATGCCCTGGTCCTGTAGCATGAGCCCTGGCATTTTTACTGTGATTGCCTGTTTTTCTGTAAAATCACAGAAAAAGAGAGATGCTCGGGTCGAGCAGGCTGCTTCATGCGCGTTCACGCTCAGGCATCGCCCGTAGCATTTGCTATCCGTAGCTTTAGCAGCAGAGAGAGAGGCAGTGCCACTTTGTCGCTGTTCCTAACGCCTAGTGACAAAGCTAGCTACATTTCTGAGGACCCTTAGCTACTTTCTGTAGAACTTTCTTCTAGATGTTTCCTGCTAATTAGCAACAAAATAGCCATTTTCACTCCGAACCATTCTTTGGTTTGACGTTGTTTCAGCTGTCATCAAGGATATAAATGTTACAGATACTGTGAATGTTACTAGAGTGTAGCTCACCTAGTAAGATGTCTGACTCTCATGCAGAAGACCTGGGTTTGATTCTGGATGTGAACATAGTTTATTTAGAGTAGGGATGGGTACCTTTGACATTTGAATCGATCCGGTACTAATTCCCGGTACCTAGGAATCGATACCGGTACTTAACGGTACCAATTTTAGATACTTTTGAGTGTTTATTTTTTTAATTCTCTTTAATAATATATATATTTCTCAATATCTAATCATATTTGATAAATATCACGATAAATAACATACAACTGTTTGTATTTTAACATCGTCCTTGTAGTTTTATAAGCTGATAATTAAACTGAAGCAAACATCTTTACTGTGAACTAAATTTACTGTGTATCTTCATTCCTTTTGCCGTCCTTTTTCATTTGATTTTTCCTACTGGGAAGCTAGAATTTCCGAGGAGACAGCGAACACACCATTAGCTAACATATCAAGCTAACGTTATCTTAAACAGTTTATTTAGCTGCTGGAGCAGATTAAAACGATGATGCCTCACACTTAGATCGTTGTCGCTGGTTTCATCTTCACCCAATCACCCGTCGCATTTAGTAAAGTGAAGCCAAACTTTAGAGCGCGTTCATGTTCTTCTAGTCGGAAATTCAGAGTTCTGAGGAGAAAGCGAACGCACCATTAGCGAAACGGAAGCTAACATATCAAGCTAACTTTATCTTAAACATTTTATTTACCTACCGGAGCAGATTGAGATGAGGATGTCTCACTTAGATCGTTGTCGCTGGTTTCATCATCACCCAGTTACCATCACATTTAGTGAAGTGGACCCAAGCTTTAGCGTGCGTTCTTTCTACCATGCTGCTCTGTTTACAACTCGCGCGCAGCGACCGACGACATAACGCTCTTGCGCATGCACAGCTGTCTAGGCAAGTTCTCGTTATGAAGGACGGGTACCGAAACGAGGCACCGTTTCAAATGATGTGAATCGGTGCTCAGTCGGTACTATGGAATTCGGTCGGTGCCTTAAACTGTACCGAATTCAGTACCCATCGCTAATGTAGAGTTTCTTTTTTACATTAATGGTATATTTTTTTACAGTAAGATGCCCAAATTTGTATTTGAGACTCGCCGAACGGCATTGAATTCACAGATAAAAAAGATGTGGGTTCAACTTTCATTTTGGAACAATTTTTCAAGCAGAAGAGAAAGCTGCAGAACCAAATTATTTAATTAATTAGCTGCGTGTTCTCCTGTCCTCTGTCCTCCGACACACACACACACACACACACACACACACACACACACACACACACACACACACACACGTGACTGTCTCAGTTGTTATTTTCGTTAAGGAGTGTGCACGTACAGCATGCGCGCCTCGTGCACGAGCCTACTATTGAAGCTGCCGTTACGCTTTTGGCCTGAGGGGGCGATCGCGAGCATAAAAATTCAAAAGTCTGAAAAGCCCCTTTAAGCTTTTAATGCATGAAGATTAAGATCTTTGTTTTTTCTTGTTTGTAGCCAAAAACTAAAGAACACGAAGAGGAGTTGGAGCGGCACGCTCAGTTCCTGTTGGTCAACTTTAACCACACTCACAAGAGGATCCGCCGAGTTGCAGACAAATACCTCTCCGGTTTGGCCGAGGCGTGAGTTGCGTTCAGAGAATTCTCTTGTTTGCTTGCAGTTTGTTTACAACATATTGAATTTTACTTTTGTGTCCTTCAACTTCAGATTCCCTCATCTTCTGTGGAGTGGGCGAGTGTTAAAGACTATGCTGGATATTTTACAGACGCTCTCACTTTCTCTAAGTGCTGTAAGTACCGCTGAAAACGCAAAGTCGGATAGAGATGTATCTATCGGGTTCTTTTCAGCTTCGGACCAACAAAATAGCAAATGTTTAAGACACGTGACCCCAGATATTTCTGATTTGATGATAAAGCTGAGTAATCCAAAGCCAAAAATGGGGAAATCAAGGCACAAAAAAACGAATTCAATGATCATATCAATAAGTAGACCCATAGCATGAATGGCTATGATGAGTACTAACCTCACTAAAATCAAGACATGCCAATAAATCAATTACAAAACCATGAAATTGTTCATTTAGCACTGATATAACAATACACAATATAAATTAAACTTCAAAATAAAATGTTTCACTTGACCCCACTTGTGTTTATTCAATAATAGTAAATTATAAATGAAATAATCATTATAAATGTACAGGCGTATAACTGAAGGCCTTACACAGAACTGCTCCAGCATATCTTGGCAACCTTTTGCATGGGCACGCCCCCTCGCGCTCAGCCGGCAGGGAGCTGTTGATGGTTCCACGCACTAAGTGCAGGTCACGGGGGGACCGTGCGTTCTCGGTGTTGGCGCCTGCACTTTGGAACCAGTTGCCTTTGGTGGTGCGTCAGTCACCCTCATTGGGGGTTTTTAAAACTCGCCTTAAGACCCATTTTTTTGTCAAGGCATTCCAGGATTAGCACATTTTACCCGGTTTCGATGCCCCGGCCTCTTAATCTTTTTCAGGATTATATTTTTTGCTTTTACTCTCCTCTTTTAGTTGATTTTATGTTGGTTTTACGATTGTTATAGTTTATTCTGATGGTTTTATGTTTTTATTGTGTTGTGTTCAGCAGCTTGGGCGTCTGCACTGGTCGCAGAAGGGGCTTTATAAATGAAATGCCTGATCAGGACTGTCAAATTAACTCTTTAAGTGACAAAGTATATTGCTTTTAGTGAGCCATAGCTGCAAATATAATCCCTCATGAAGATGATTACCTTACACTAGAAGATAGTGGCGATGTGTAACTTTCAACACTTTTGGGAGTTTCTATTGAGATTTTTGGAGTTTACAGAGTTTGAAAACTGCCCCACCCCCTCCCCCAGAGGCTCCTGACTGAGGAGAGGAGATGAGCTCACAGAGGGTGAAAATTATTACATAATAGAGGAGAAACTTCCAACGATGACAGGTCTGTTCATTGTTGACAAAACTCTCTGTCTGGTTATGGCTGACTCGGACTCTGAAGAGTAATATTCACCTTCTGATGTGACGAGGGAAGTGGCGCTGCGTCTGCACGCAGCAACAGAGTTTTGTGGATGTGAAAGTAAAAAGTGCATCACATAATTGATATGAAAATTCCAGAAATCGTATTAAAACTGCATTACTAAAAGGGGAAAAACTTTACTTTTGATATCGGTACAAACTTCATATTTTTATGAGGCAAAGAGCAAGTTGCCTCATGAGGACAGAGAAAGATTAAATGAAAACAGGGTTCGCCTGACGGCCTGTTTCAGCTGAAAACCGAACACACGTTTTTGGCTGACAGTATTCGGTGGCCGAATCCCTAGTTTTCACTGGTATTTTGATATCTGGGAATCCTCTCAAGAGCCCCTGTGTTAACCCACAGTGGGGTCCTGACCCCAACTTTGGGACCTTCTGATCTAGTTTTAGAATAAAATAATAGAATAGACCTGACTGATCCCACAGAGGGGAAATCCACTTGTTAGAGTAGCATCTGAAGTACATGATAACAACGGTACATGTATAAACACACAGGCAGCGATAGGGATGGGTACCTTTGACATTTGAATCGATCCGGTACTAATTCCCGGTACCTACGAATCGATACCGGTACTTAACGGTACCAATTTTCGATACTTTTGAGTGTTTAATGTTTTAATTCTCTTTTATAATTAAATATATATTTTTCTCAATATTTGATAAATATCACGATAAATAACATACAACTGTTTGTATTTTAACATCGTCCTTGTAGTTTTATAAGCTGATAATTAAACTGAAGCAAACATCTTTACTGTGAACTAAATTTACTGTGTATCTTCATTCCTTTTGCCTCCTTTTTCATTTGATTTTTCCTATTGGGAAGTTAGAATTTCCGAGGAGAAAGCGAACGCACCATTAGCTGATGACAAAGGTGGCAATGGAAGCTAACATATCAAGTTAACGTTATCTTAACCTTTTGATGCATGAATTATGAAATCGTCAACCATGATTTTTTAAACAATTTTTTTCATTCATCTTTAGGTGTGAATGAAACAAATTTCATATTTACATATTTTTTGTAAAATTTAATTTACAAATAATTTATTACATGTCCACCTCAGTGGACAGTGTGCATTCTGAACATGAAAAATGTTGGCTTGACTTACTGAAGTACAGATGGAGGGGTTCAAATGCAATAAAGTCTTCAACAGCTGTGCTTAATAGCAAAAATAAATAAATAACAATTTTAAGTACCTGTCCACTGTAGTGACCATTATGCATCAAAGGGTTAAACAGTTTATTTAACTGCTGGAGCAGATTAAAACGATGATGCCTCACACTTAGATCGTTGTCGCTGGTTTCATCTTCACCCAATCACCCGTCGCATTTAGTAAAGTGAAGCCAAACTTTAGAGCGCGTTCATGTTCTTCTAGTCGGAATTTCGGAGTTCCGAGGAGAAAGCGAACGCACCATTAGCGGAACGGAAGCTAACATATCAAGCTAACGTTATCTTAAACATTTTATTTACCTACCGGAGCAGATTAAGATGAGGATGTCTCACTTAGATCGTTGTCGCTGGTTTCATCATCACCCAGTTACCCATCACATTTAGTGAAGTGGACCCAAGCGTTAGCGTGCGTTCTTTCTACCATGCTGCTCTGTTTACAACTGGCGCGCAGCGACCGACGACATAACGCTCTTGCGCATGCGCAGCTGTCTAGGCAAGTTCTCGTTATGAAGGACGGGTACCGAAACGAGGCACCGTTTGAAATCACGTGAATCGGTGCTCGGTCGGTAATATGGAATTCGGTCGGTACCTTAAAAAGTACCGAATTCGGTACCCATCGCTAGGCAGCGAGCTATTCCTGTAACCTTCAGCCACTAAAAACCATAAATAAAAAATGAAAAACTTGGGTTCCAGAACTATGCATCATTCTGTAAGGGACACAGACATATTATGTAAATCTGGTATTGCACAAGTATTGCATCGATGTTATTGCGTACCAGGATTATCGATTTAGTTTAAATTAAATCATCTTCCTGGTTGAATAGATGCAACCGAGCAGTAACAAATTCCCTCTGTTGGTTTAGGATATTCACAAGGATCAGCCGTACTACGACATTCCCGACACTCCTTACAGGATCACTGTACCTGACACATATGAAGCCAGAGAGGTGAGCTTGGAGTGTCAATGCATATCTGACCACTAGAGGTCAGCAGAGCGTCGGTTTTAACTACACTGGTCTGCAGAAAGTTACAGGATCAATAAAAAGTGTAACCTGTTCTGTTTCAGAGCATCGTCAAAGATTTTGCTGCTCGTTGTGGTGAGATCTTAAAAGAAGCAATGAAATGGGCCCCTTCCGTCACAAAGTCCCACCTACAGGTCGGTTTGTCCCATGAGTCCTATTTATATTTTCAGTTGCAGCAACCTTTATATTTTTATGTATTTATTCGTTTTTGTTACTGAAAGTGGAAAGAGGTCATACTTATTTGACAGGAAAATGGCTGCCTGATCTGTTCCATGAATATTTTTCTGCTTTCTGATCATTCTCACTGGACTCCAGGAGTACCTGAACAAGCATCAGATCTGGGTGTCGGGGCTGTCCCAGCACACGGGCCTCGCCATGGCCACAGAGAGCATACTGCACTTCGCCGGCTACAACAGACAGAGCACCACACTAGGCGTGGGTCTCACACACACGCACGCACGCACACACACACACACACACACACACACACACACACACACACACACACACACACACACACACACACACACACACACACACGACTCTTTAAAGCTTAAGTTTGTTTACCTACGTTTGGCCTCAGCTTGCTGGTTTAGCGCTCGTTTACATTTGTCCAAGGTTTTTTTAACACAGCGAATGTACCGTAACAGTAGCAGCTTTGCCGTTTTGTTATCACTGAACCAACGTGTTTGTTGCGTGTTTTATTCTGTATAAACTATGTACAGTTGCTCTGTAAACAATTGGGTGAACGTTACCTGGTAGTTTACAGTACAGTGTGCCATGTATGCATGTTTACTAGTCTGTGTGAGGTTGTTTTGCTTGCTTGCTGCGCGTTTCTTACATGTTGTTGGGCTTGCATTCTGCTGCATCTGTCTCCTCATTTGCTCCATTTGTTGTATTTTGTCTTTATTTAACGGTACCAAACCGCCCACCTGGTTGCTTGACTGGTTTACGGATTTGCCGGTTACCTCGTAACTTACCTGCAACGGACGGGTGGGTTGATTGGCTGGTTGTCCGTTTGGCTAACTCGTTATGCTGATGCTGTCCTCCACCACGCGGCCGACCACAGGCTGCTTTTCCTCAGGTTGGTCTGAACACTAAAACACGGAGAGACACGGCTCAGGCATGATGCCTTCAGTAGATCCAGATGTTTCTTTGCAGCTTTGTGTCCTCTTAAGTTTCAGGATTTTTGACCACAAGTTTTACTTCAACTATGCTTCCTGTTTAGACCACTCAGTTGACAGAGAGACCAGCGTGTGTAAAGAAGGACTACTCCAACTTCATGGCGTCGCTCAACTTGAGGAACCGTTACACAGGAGAGGTAGACCTCTTCCTCCATCAGGTGGTGTTCTCTGAGGCTGTCAGAGTGAGTCTCCTTTGTGTCTCTGTAGGTGGTCGGCATGATCCAGTTCTCAGAGGCTACTAACAGCCACTCCGACCTCACCAAGTTGATGATCCATCAGATGACAAGCGCTCTTGAGAGAAAAGACCCAGAATCCTTCACTCAAGCCATGTTCAAGATGGCCGCCCTGCTCATAACAACCAAAAGTGGGTAAAGAGTTGGCGTGTGTATTGGTATTATTTGTAATTTTTAAGCAAATTATATTTGAAAACTCAGGCCAGGTGCTCTAAAGACACATCCAGCGTTTTCGTGAGACGTCGTCGTCGTTCCGTCAGCATGAAGGTGGTAAAAAGCGCCAGCAGTCAGCATTTGAATTGCACCACTCGAAAGAAATACGTGTAAATGTTTGCATGTAAATCCTCAATAAAAATATTAGTGCATTGAAATATCACCATATTTCATATGATTATATGTGTATGGATATTTACTCACACCCCTAGTACAGATGCTGTCTCCTCGTAAATATTAGTTTGGATCTGTACATTTAGTTGTTTTGTGTCATCAATCAATCAATCAGTCAATCAATCAATACTTTATTAATCCCAGAGGGAAATTAGAGTTTCAGTACACACAATTCAGAGATCAGGCATACATGGGCAAGACACATGACAAGAATTGGTGACTGTGGTCATTCGCAACCCTGAGTCGCGCTACCTTAATAGAGATAAGAGGGTTACATGAGGATTGGTTCAGGTGGAGGGGAAAAAAAGACACTTCAGAGTTACCCTCCACCAGGAGGGCAGCTTTGCTCTGCAAAAAACACCTCAGACAGATATGCAACACACTTCAGACATCACAACATAAGTGTCCACTAGGTGGGGGGGTGGATTGGGACTATCCCCACTTCAGTTCTTGCAGCCACGATGAGCGGCGCATGACACCTCTGTGTGTGTGTGTGGGGGGGGGGGGGGGGGGTTTGAGGGTTGGAGGGTTGCAGTGACCCTGGACACTTCGGCAGCCCTCCCGCTGTTCCACCCAGGCTGGGAAAGGAGACAGAGTTGAGTTGCCATAGCGACTGCACATTCCACATATCTTCTGAGGAGGGAGTTTTCGTTGGAGCCTTGCTGGCTCAAGGGCGCCGATCAGTCTGTTAACTCTAGGTGGTCGTTACCTTTCAGACTGTGACCCACAGCTGCTCCATCATCTGTGCTGGTCCCCACTGAAGATGTTCACAGAACACGGGATGGAAACCGCCATTGCCTGCTGGGAGTGGCTCCTAGCTGCACACAATGGAGTGGAAGTGCCAGTATGTATATTTATCATTTTGTCCCTGAAGTGATGTCAGCCTGATGGTTAATGATGATGGACAGACAGGTGTTTATGGTTTCTTTTTTGTCGTCATAGTTCATGCGTGAGATGGCCGGAGCGTGGCATATGACGGTGGAGCTAAAGATGGGTTTGTTTTCAGAGGCTATAGCTGAGGCCGGCCCCCTGGCAGTCTCCGAGGAAAGCCAGCCTGCCCCCTGCGCTCCTGATGTCATCCCTCACTTCCTGTGGATAGAGGTCAGTGACACAGTTAAATCCTTCAGGGAGGATGTGTATGCTTATATTACTGTATTTGTGAGGTAATGCCACAGGTCATTTTATTCACAAACACTCTTTAATACGCGTCTTTAATTTTCCATTTCGTCTTCCAGTTCCTGGTGCAGCGGTTTGAGATAGCCAAATACAGCAGCGTGGACCAGGTGGAGATTTTTATTTCCATTTTGCAGAGATCTCTTTCTCTCAGTGTCGGAGGACCCAAAAGCAGCCTAAACCGACACGTTGCTGCCATCGGTCCAAGATTCAGGTACTTCCATGTTATCAGTGCAATGTAATGGTTTAATTTACATGTTATGTAAGGAGCCATAAGACATGAGATTCCAGAGTAAATATGAAATCAACCTTATGGATCTGTGGGTACTTTTAACCAGAAGATTGGAACTTTTTATTGCAGGGATTAGATAACAGCTTCGTATTAATGCAGAGACAACAGAAGAGAGAGTCGGGTTTAAAAGTTTAAAGATTTATTACTAAACAGATTAAACTAGACTAACTTTAACACTAAATGTATGGTGTAACTAAGGTGGATGAGACGGAGAATGGTGTAATGTGGAATGTTGCTCAGAACCAGCAAATCTGAAGAAGCGATTAGTTCTGGTGGGAAGTGAAGGTGATGTCGGAGCTACGCTTTGGTTAGGAGATTCATAAACACATTCAATGCCATTTTCCGGTCTACATACCCTGAGCGGTGGTCCCCATTAGATCAGGAATGTCGAGGTCCAGCTTGGACCTTCTCTGGAACCAAAACTGATAGGAAAAGCAGCAATTGCCGACCAGACCAGTCTTGAGATACTTCCGGGTCACGACTGTTTATCGGCATCTAACAAGACCCAAACCTGGGTCGTGATGGTTCAGCTTTTATTCTGAAAGGAACCGTTGCAGCAGGTGGAACAGCAACAGATTTTATCCAGCTTGTCGTTGGTTCTTTCGGCTGAAGAGGAAGGCAGGGAGGGGCTGGCATCCTGTTACCCCCAGCGAGAGCAGCCATCTAAGGCGCTGATCTGCTGTACAGTCACAGGTGGGAGGGAGATCTTGGGAGAAATAAAATAAACTAATATCTGATCACCTTTACTCTGTTTCAGACTGCTGACGCTGGGTTTGACTCTGCTCCATGCTGACGTTGTGACAAATGCCACCATCAGAAACGTCCTCCGAGAGAAGATTTACTCCACAGCTTTTGACTATTTCAGGTGGTAAAAATATACACACATACATATTTGTTGTTACCAGATTGGAACACTAATAGTTTTAGAAAGATTTAAAGAGGAAGTTCACAGAGAAACCTTTTTTACTCGTTCTTTTTTAAATACGATCAGTCACACATGCAAGCTAAATGTGAAAATATTCTTCTACCCCTATTTCCTTCATTTGCTTCTGATTGAAAATAAACGGGAAATGCTCAGTTAACAAAAGCCAGTCAGATCTATGTCACGCTGTCACTTAACACCCATGGACCCACCAATCTGGGTTCACTACGGGGAAGGCTGTTGTTGCTTTAGGGTCGAGGAGAGGGCAGAGAGCGTCTCAGTTAGTAGAAGCTAACCATTAGCATAAGCAGCTCCATAACGTAGCAGAACTTCTTCAGTGTTATTTGTGGGGATAAAAACATCAGCGATGCAACGCAAACGTGGCAGAGTCCCGTTGTTGTTAGCCAGTCAGAGGCGAGATGTCCAAATATCAGGAACTAAGACTCCAGATCCTGCTGCTTTGGCTGACTTCTACTTTTTTCTACATGAACTCTCCTTTCCACTGGCTGTGAAACGGTTGGTAATGTAATAGCAGTTTTTTACCCACGAGCGCATTCCCAACCAGCAGCAATTCTGATGCCAAACAGGAGCAAAAGCGTTCCACACAGCTGATCTCGTGACGTCACAAAATCATTGGAGAATTGCAACCCCACACGTGATTTCAGAAGTCCACACACAATCACGAGCGTGGAAAAAGACACCTGCATGTATCAAAAACGGTTCTGTTACAGGAAGCTCACAGGAAGTGACCTAGTGCACATGACTTTTGTTTTGAAAGTTTCCAGATGTTTTACACTGCTTTTGTGTTTGACTTCCTGTCTGGTGCAATCTAAACTGCGGAGTTTGATGTGTTTTCGAAGCATAGCGTGTAAAAAATTGACTTGAAACATAATCAATTCAAATCAAAGATACTTTATTAATCCCAGAGGGAAATTAGAGTTTCAGTACAACAATTCAGAGATCAGACATACATGGGCAAGACACATGACAAGAATTGGTGACTGTGGTCATTCGCAACCCTGAGTCGCGCTACCTTAATAGAGATCAGAGGGTTACATGAGGATTGGTTCAGGTGGAGGAAAAAAAGGCACTTCAGAGTTACTCTCCCACCAGGAGGGCAGCTTTGCTCTGCAAAAAAACACCTCAGACAGATATGCAACAGACTTCAGGCATCACAACATGTGTCCACTAGGTGGGGTGGTGGGTTGGGACTGTCCACACTTCAGTTCCTGCAGCCACGATAAGCAGCGCATGTCACCTCAGTGTGGATAGGGGGAGGAGCATTGAGGGTTGGAGGGTTTCAGTGACCCTGGAACGTTTCAGCGGCCTTCCCACAGTCCCGCCCAGGCTGGGAAAGGAGACAGAGTTGAGTTGCCATAGCGACGGCACATTCCACATATCTTCTGAGGGGGGAGTTTTCGTTGGAGCCTTGCAGGCTCAAGGGCACCAGATTCCGATTAGAAATTGTTTTGGGGCCAGACAGAGATACTTTCCTCTCTGTCTTAAAGTTCCTTGGTCCTCAACCTCTCAAAATCCCAATAATGGACATTAATCTATCCCAATCCGTGCTGATTCGTCCACTCTCTCCTTGACATCCATCTTTTGTGCCAATGAATGAATCTCGGCCAAAGTTCCAAGCTTTCGATTCATCTCGACAATTATGTGAGTCTGTGAATTCACAGCGCGGTGCAAACCATCTCTGAGCTCCGGGATCAGGCTAATATTCCTCAACAGCTCATTAATTTTCCTGTAAGCCAGGAAGCCTCCAAGGCCAATAAACAGTAAACCTGACACCAACACCACGAATATCCACACGTCTTCAGAGTCCTCCACAGACAGCTGGTCTGTCCCGGCGGGGCATCCGGGAGCCCCTTCTCCCGTTCTCATCGTTGAAATAAATTGTATCAACCGCGTTGAGAGACCAACTGACGAGATCCATTTTAGTGAATTTCAGTTTCCAGAAAAAATGCAGAAGCAGCCGTGCACCCAGCACCCAGAGACAGACAACGGCCTTGAGGATAAGATATGGAGGAGAGGAGAAGCGTCTGCACCGTCCGAGAGCCGGAAGAAAAAGAATAACTCTTTTTTCCACTGCACGTGAAAGCTGATGGTGTCCTTTTGTTTCTGGGGTGCGTCCAAAACCGGTGGAAAGGAACGCCCACTGTAACAGCGGCTATACGCCGGGTAGTACGTTTCCCGCCGCTTTCACATGCAGTGGAAAAAAGGGTTATTCATACCGGAGACCACAGCAAATTTATTGAAAAAAGAAGGAAAAAAGTAAAAGAAAGTTTTATGGGAGACTTTTTCTTCTCTGTTTTTCTTTAGTGTTGCTCCCAGGTTTCCCACTCAGGCAGATCAGAGGCTAAGAGAAGACATCAGCATCATGATCAAGTTCTACGCCTGTCTGCAGTCTGACAAGAAATACCTGACAGCCCATCAGCTGGTTCCACCAGGTAACTAGTAAAGATTCACTTTAAAAGTTATATTTATGTTGAAATGAAGGTTTCAACTGTTTATTTTACATTTGTGTCTATCCAGATCCGCAAGACGTGTCGGTGAACAGCTTGTCTGTGATGGCAGCGGCGGACAGCCGGAGCAGTCTGGACGTAGCTGTCGGTCAGAGGCAGCAGATTCCTCAGGGCTGGATCAACACTTACCCTCTGTCCTCTGGGATGTCCACACTTTCCAAGAAGTCAGGTGAAGCGTGTAGACTAAAGTCTCTGCGATTTACCTCCATCTGCTTTTCCTTCTCAGCTGAATGAGTTAATATGAGGCGAACATAACTCCACTGATATTTTCGTTCTGTTTTGTTTAGGGCTCTCTAAAAAAAGTAACCGAGGCTCCCAGCTGCACAAATATTACATGAAGCGCAGGACTCTGCTACTGGCTTTACTGGTATTCACCCTCTTTCAACAACTTTCTACCCTATTAAATGGGTGATGGTAAAGGAAACACCTACAGCAGCCCCTTTAGGAAAACAATATTCTGATGGAATTTAAACTCATCACCTGTGCGTTCCTCCTCAGGCCAGCGAGATCGAGCGTCTGACAATCTGGTACAACCCGTTATCCTCTCAGGAGCTCGCGATTACCACAGAGCAATCGGTAGAGACCAGCATTGCCAACTGGAGGTCCAAATACATCAGTCTGACAGAAAAACAGTGGAAAGACAATGTGAACCTGGCCTGGAGCATTGCACCTTACCTCGCCCTGCAGCTGCCTGCCAGGTAAACAGAAACAACCTAGCTTCCATCTTTCAGTTCTTTTTAAAACACAGAAAAGTGTTAATTACCTGCAACGCTTCGTTTGCAGCTGCCAACATCATCAGGCCGACGCCGGCGGTGGCGTCACTTCCTCCGTTTATCCACCGCCGGCGTCAGCCTGATGATGTTGGCAGCTGCAAACGAAGCGTTGCAGGTAATTAACACTTTGATGCATGAATTATGAAATCTTCAACCATGATTTTTTAAACATTTTTTTCCATTCATCTTTAGGTGTGAATGAAACAAATTTCAACAAACAATTTTTGTAACATTTTGTTCATTTACAAATAGTTTATTACACGTCCAGCTCAGTGGACAGCGTGCATTCTGAGCATGAAATATGGTGGCTTGACTTGCTGAAGTCCAAATGGAGGGGCTCACATGCAATAAAGTCTTCAACAGCTGTGCTTCATAGCAAAAACAAATAAATAACAATTTTGAGTACCTGTCCACTGTAGTGACCGTTATGCATCAAAGGGTTAAACCTTTTCTGTGTTTTAAAAAGAACTGAAAGATGGAATCTGAAACTCAACACAGCAAGAACGCACCAAAGATGTTTAAACAACCTGACTTCCTTCTCTGCATGATGCAGTTTTTAACTTTCGTTGCATCATTGTGACCAAAATGTTTTGTAAACAGCAACAGGAAATAATCAACGATAAATCAAATGATTGTTTTAATTGAAATGGGCTTGTTTGGTTTTGTCTTTTTTTGTTATTTTTGTTTTTAGATTTAAAAACACGGAGTGCATCGTGACTGAAGTGACGCGTCTGGTGCGGATGGATCCGGCTGCTGTGTGTGACGTTCCTGAGGCTGTAAAGGTGAGCTCTTCTGCGCGGGTCACACAGGACACTTAAATGATCCCGAGTTGTCACAAATGATGAGGTTGTTTTTCAAAGGAATGTGGCGGTAGCAAAATATTAAAAACTATTTTAAATCATACAAATAAACCCAGATTTTGCAAATGAAACGATAAAAGAAAAAGATTCATCTACAAATTCTTATAAAGAAGTTTCCTCATTTCAGTTTAGATCTACTGTAGCTAAAATTACTTTTACTTGAACACTAAAAATCCAGGACGACTGCACACTTTTTAGCTACAAGAGCAGATTCTTTTGGAGGATTTCTGCAGTAGAGGGTGACATGGGAATGGATTTTCTTCGCTTTCTGAACTCACTCCCATTTAAAAAACTTATCTTGTCCCAATCCCAGAAAGCAAGGGGAAAAATGACCTCCCATTTCAATCCCGTTAAAGTAATCCCCATTCCCTCCCGGTCCCAGCAGGTGTTTTTAAGGCGTGGCGATTCTAAAGAAAAACAAAAATTCCACTCCGTCACCGACAACTCCAGAAAACTGTGAAGAACTTCAGACTTCTCTGACAGCGTTTTCGTGGTGATGCCGGCATTTCCCGCTTCATTCGCTTCTCCAACTCATCTTTTTCTTCTGTCCGTGTCATCTAACTTGGCGGCTAGGTAGGGTCGTCACGGTGTGAAAATGTAACCTCACGGTTATTGTGACCAAAATTACCACGGTTTTCGGCATTATCGCGGTATTTTTTTAAACGTGTTACATTTTCAGACAACTACATAAACCCTGTATGTCAGGAAAATATTGTCCTCGGTTTGTGTCCTTCCAGTGAGCTTTGCAGATTCATGCGCGTTCACGCTCAGGCATCGCCCGTAGCGTTTGCTATCCGTAGCTTTAGCAGCAGAGAGAGGCAGTGCCACTTTGTCGCTGTTCCTAACGCCTAGTGACAAAGCTAGCTACATTTCTGAGGACCCTTAGCTACTTTCTGTAGAACTTTCTTCTAGATATTTCCTGCTAATTAGCAACAAAATAGCCATTTTCACTCCGAACCGTTCTTTGGTTGACGTTGTTTCAGCTGTCATCAAGGATGTAAATGTTACAGATACTGTGAATGTTACTAGAGCGTAGCTCACCTAGTAAGACGTCTGACTCTCATGCAGAAGACCTGGGTTTGATTCTGGATGTGAACATAGTTTATTTAGAGTTTCTTTTTTACATTAATGGTATATTTTTTTACAGTAAGACGCCCAAATTTTTATTTGAGACTCGCCGAACGGCATTGAATTCACAGATAAAAAAGATGTGGGTTCAACTTTCATTTTGGAACAATTTTTCAAGCAAGGGAAGGGAATGATCTGAGCATGCAGGAGGACTGACCCATCATAAACCTTTGTCGGCTGTGCTGAAGAGAAAGCTACAGAACCAAATTATTTAATTAATTAGCTGTGTGTTCTCCTGTCCTCCGACACACACACACACACACACACACACACACACACACACACACACACACACACACACACACACACACACACGACTGTCTCAGCTGTTATTTTCGTTGAGGAGTGTGCACGTACAGCATTCGCGCCTCGTGCACGAGCCTACTATTGAAGCTGCCGTTACGCTTTTGGCCTGAGGGGGCAATCACGAGCATAAACATTCAAAACTCCGTAAAGTCCCTTTGAGGCGTCACTGTAACACCATCGTTTCGTGTTTCTGACGTTAATCTCATCAAAAATGTATTTTTTTCTCTAGTTTCTGGTGACGTGGCACACCATAGATGCTGACTCTCCAGAACTGAGCCACATCTTGTGCTGGGCTCCAGCAGACCCCCCGACTGGACTGTCCTACTTCTCCTCCATGTACCCTCCTCACCCCCTCACCGCCCAGTATGGAGTCAAAGTGCTGCGCTCCTTTCCACCTGTATGCTTAACCAAAACACAAAAATATAATATATTGTTGTTTTTGTTTACTTTACATGACCTCAACATATTTCTCCTTATTTTTTGTTACTTCTAGGATGCGATCTTATTTTACATTCCTCAGATTGTCCAAGCTCTTCGCTACGACAAGGTAAATTATGTATTCTGTGTTTACATTTAAACCCTGTTTGTGATCGCTACGCTTTGTTCTCTGCTCAAACGTAGATGGGTTATGTGAGAGAGTACATCCTGTGGGCCGCTCAGAAGTCCCAACTACTGGCTCACCAGTTCATCTGGAACATGAAAACCAACATATACTTGGATGAAGAAGGACATCAGAAAGACCGTGAGATGTTCTCCTTCTCCGACAGACCCGACACGAGCACAGAAATGCCTCGTTCAGAGGAATGAGCTAAAACGTTAGGAACCAGCCCTTTTGTCTCGTGTTTCTGTGCAGCGGACATCGGCGAGCTGCTGGAGCAGATGGTGGAGGAGATCACCGGTTCGCTTTCGGGCCCGGCCAAAGACTTCTACCAGAGAGAGTTTGACTTCTTCAACAAGATCACCAACGTTTCCGCCCTTATAAAGTAAGACCACGCGTTGGGTCAACTCTTAACCACAACTGTTTGACTTCATGGCAGCTGAGGTTTTTATTTGATGGTTTGTATTTGTTCATCCTAATTCTTTAACAAACACTCTGGGCCTCATTTATACGCCTTTTCATGCAATTCTCAAGCCTGATTCGTGCTTCTCCGTCTGCGTCAGCGCGGAGACACGCAACGTCCTGGCGGGCCTGCTGGAGCGCTCCGCAAGGACGGACGGAGTCGAGCTCTCTTTTCTAAACATCCGTCAGTCGAGACGGACGACGCAAGCTTGTGATTGGTCAGGACGCCGCTGTCGTCTACACCGCCGGCATCGCGCCCTCAAAAACATAAAGAGAGCCGAGGATAACTAGCGGCAGACACGGAGCAGCTTGAAGAATACCTCGCGAAAAAACTCTAAAAACATGAACGTTTAATTCCCCGTGACTGGAGGAGTGAAAAGATGCGCAGCAAGCGTTTTATTTGTGGACGGAAATGACAGGAAACGTGGGTTTAGAGGTGGCGAGCGCATGAAGAGGTGGAGGAGGATGAGAGACAAATATGTCTGTTAAAAAGTCTCTTATATATACAAAAAAACACAATATAAACACACCATCTTGGACCGATACATGACAGGATACCACAGAACAGCGCTACGCCCTCTGCTGTCCTGGCGGGGAATTGCTTTGCAACGCTCCCCAGGAGACGGAGAAGTATGAGAGCAAAACGCTTCCGTCCGTGCGTGTCTGTCCCTTTTGGAGCTGATGGAGAAGCGTAAACCAGCCTTTACACTTCGATCTGGGCCACTGCTGGACGTGTTAGAGCACTAATTCAGCTAACTAGGGGTAGACCGCTTTATTGGGTCGATATTTACCCTTTTTTAATATTTGTCCTTGTAAAGCCGATTTAAAGTCAGGCGCAGCTTCGGGCAGCCCAGTGCTGTTGCAGAATTATTTTCACGTTCACTAAATAAAATCTGCATAATAAATACTCCAATTTAACTTTATTTAGGTGTCTGACTTTAACACTGAGCAGTGCACAAAGTTAATATTCAACAGTTGGTTAAATTCAGAGTTCAAAACTGATTCAGTTTCAGAAATATTGTGCATCAACTAGTGTTATTATTGACATTTTAGCGTGAAAATAAGGTGACACCCGTCTAGATGTCGGCTATGAAATCAGCCCATAAAAATCAGCAGTACGTGTCGGCGTCAGCAACAAAAAACCAACGTCGGTCGACCTCTACAGCTAACAAACCTCCTAACGTCCAGTTTGCTTTCAGAATTGATCATGTGGCTGCCGTCTCAGCGCGTGTCCTTTATATCGGTGTGCAGCGTGGGCTCCAGCTCTGATTCTGAATCACCGGTGTTTATGTTTGCTTTGTGAAAGACTTGATTGGCTCTGTTTCAGCAGAAGATCAGTTTACAGGGTATCCGCGGATCCTTAAAAAGTCTTAAAAAGTCTTAAATTGGCTTTTCCAAATTTAAGGCCCTAAAAATCCTTTAAAATGACAAATAATCCTTAAATACAGTTTACAAAGGTCTTAAATTACAAAAGACCCAATAGACAAGATTCTTTTATTTCTATAAAATTTTCGTGAATTTCTAGTTGGTGTTCAACATTTTTTGTTTATGATGTTGGCGTAAGCGGAACCGTATACATTCATTTGGTTGTGAAAGGGGGCTATTTTATATGAGCACATTAGCTGGTTAAGCTAGTGGGAGTGTGCGCCAGGGGGAAGTGTAAGCTTAATGGTAAATGGTTGGCTAATCCCCACGTTCGCGATGTGGTTAGCACCGGTTCCAGGCAATAGCTGGAAATTATAGCTTGCATTTAATTTTTAAAATAGCTTAAATTTGGTCAAAGTGGCCTTAAAAAGGTCTTAAAAAGTCTTAAATTTGACTCCCTTAAACCTGCAGATACCCTGGTTTAGAGCCACGTTTCTGTCATGCTGTCATTACGGTGTAAAACCACAAGGTGGCAGATGTGTAAAAGTTTTAGTGATTTTTTTTTTTTAACCTTCATTCTTTGTCAACATTTCCCTTCATTTTCAGCGAAATGCTCTTTTAATCCCCAACACGGTATAACGCTCTCATGATCTAAGGTCAGTCTTGTTGTTTTAATGAGAAAAAAAGAAAATCTTTATTTGAATTGTTTTGTTTTTGAAGACTACAGAAGTCGTTACTTTGGTGTGACTTTCTCCACTCTCCAGGTAATATTAAAGGTGTTTGCAAAGTGACACGTTTTCCCACGGGCAAAGGTGTTTTCCTCCGTTTTCCACCTCCTGAATCCCTTTGCTGTTCATTAATTTAGTTATTTACGGCTGTCCTGTCACTTTAATCATGCATCGCTGTGGAAAACACTTACCTCTAGACTCTTCTCAGCGTGCCAGCCGCGGTGAACGCCGCGTAGCTGATGGGCTGCTCTCTGACAACCTGCATGCATAAAGTGTTTTGTCAGCCCTCCAGAGGAGCCGGCGTTCCCCTCTGCCCTCATTACAGCTTTAATTGCAACAGCAGGGGAAAAATCTCAGCTGTCCCCCCCGACTCCCACTCCCTATTAGCTCCTCTGTTCTGGGACCAGCAGCAGAGCCTGGCTGTCACTTGTAGGCCGGAGTCATTTAGTGAGATACCCGTAGATCTCAGCGGTCTGAGTCACAAAGGTTCAGACATAGAAGCGTCCAAAGTCTGTTTTTAAGTTGCATTTGTTTGTTTTTATCAGACCTTTTCCCAAAGGGGAAGAGAGGAAGAAGGCCTGCCTGGAAGCCTTGTCACAGATTAAAGTCCAGCGTGGCTGTTACCTTCCCAGTAACCCGGAGGCCATCGTTTTAGACATAGACTACAAGTCTGGGACTCCCATGCAGAGGTGAGTCCTGGGAGTTCCTCCAAATCATCCAAAGTGGCAAAAAGTCTTTTAACAAATAAACGAGTCGAAGTCTTCATCTGCCGTGTTCCCCTCCTTACGTCCTAGTGCTGCCAAAGCTCCGTACCTGGCCAAGTTCAAAGTGAAGAGGTGTGGAGTCAGCGAACTGGAAAAAGAAGGTGCGGCTCTTCACCACAGATTGAACAAACGCGTCCCAGTTTGTGTCCAGAATGATTTACCTCTTTGCCATTTTCCCCGCAGGACTTCAGAGCCGCTCAGATTCAGTGGACGAGGTCAAAAGTGACGAAGAGGCCAAGAGAATCTGCTGGCAAGCCGCCATCTTTAAAGTTGGAGACGACTGCAGACAGGTCTCCCAGACGTCCTCCCTCTCTGCTATCGTGAAGCTTTTGATTGTTTAAGCCAGACGTTCTTTTTTGTCCTTCACTGGTTGATCTGTCCCTGCAGGACATGCTGGCCCTTCAGATCATCAGCCTGTTTAAGAACATCTTCCAGATGGTGGGTCTGGATCTCTACGTGTTCCCTTACAGAGTTGTGGCCACAGCCCCTGGAGTAAGAGCCTTTAATATTCCACCACGTTAGAGCTGGGGTCAGGTACCATCACTTCCTGTAGAGATGTGGCGGTCCAGCTGATGTGATTCTGATGTTCCTCCAGTGCGGGGTGATCGAGTGCATCCCAGACTGTAAGTCTCGTGACCAGCTGGGCCGACAGACGGACTTTGGGATGTACGACTACTTCAGGAACCAGTATGGAGATGAGTCCACGCTAGCATTTCAGAAGGTAAAGGCCTAGTCACGTCCTCGTCAGTGTAATGGTTTAATTTACATGTTATTTAATGAGCCATAAGACACGAGAGTCCAGAGTAAATATGAAATCAACCTTGGATCTGTGGGTACTGTTAACCAGAAGATTGGAACTTTTTATTGCAGGGATTAGATAACAACCTCGTCTTCACTCAGAGACAACAGAAGACAGAGTCAGGTTTAAAAGTGTAAAGATTTATTACTTAACAAATTAAACTAGACTAACTTTAACACTAAATGTATGGTGTAACTAAGGTGGACGAGACGGAGAATGGTGTAGAGTGGAGTGTTGCTCAGAACCAGCAAATCTGGAGAAGCGATTAGTTCTGATGGGAAATGAAGGTGATGTCGTGAGCTAAGCTTCGATTAGGAGATTCATAAACACATTCGACGCCATGATGTCGCTCCACACACACCCTTAGAATGAGACCTCCGTACGATCCAGAATGCCAGGTCCTCGGGCCCCCCTTCGGTACCGGAGCCGTTGAAACTGCGCCAGCAGTACGACAGACTAGTCTTTGGATTGTCTCCAGGTAAAAAGCGACAGTTCGTTGACAGCATCAGATGGACCCCCTTTAGGTCGTGATGGTTCAGCTTTTATTCTGAAAGGAACCGTTGCAGCAGGTGGAACAGCAACAGATTTTATCCAGCTTGTCGTTGGTTCTTTCGGCTGAAGAGGAAAGTTACGGATTGGCCACTCCGACAACTTCTCTAGAACACTTTGAACTGGCGTTAAAGATGACGTGGGCATAGTTTTATACTTCGGATGTTTTGGTTTATGGTCGAATGAAAAGATGACAGATTTACCAAACACCACCAAAACCACGCCTCCGTCAGATCTGGCAGATTCTGATTGGATCAGTAAAACAATGTGTCATGTCTTAACGCTACGTGAGATCAGTCCTAGTGGAAACATTTAAAGTCATATTACTTATTATATTCTATAGGATTATAATAAAGTAATTAATATTTTGATTTCACAGATTGGTCACATCTTATTATTGACTAACACTTTGTTTGATTAGCTTTATTAAAATAGAGTTCTTTGATTTATTAAAGGAGAGAGTCCATTCTTCATTCTTCTCTTGGGCTGGAAAGAAGCAGGTTATAACAAATGCATGAGACCTTGAGGCCATATCTCATGCAGACTAGTTCTGTGTCAGAGGAGAGGGGACATGACTTTTAGGTGGAAAACAGTTATTTCATACTGTTACATCAGAAACTGTTCCCAGTGACTGTTTGAACTGATGATTCCTTCCGTGTTTGTCTTTTTAGGCACGCTACAACTTCATCCGCAGCATGGCAGCTTACAGCTTGCTGCTGTTCCTGCTGCAGATCAAAGACAGACACAATGGGAACATCATGCTGGACAGCCAGGGTCATCTCATCCACATCGGTGTGTACTCAGCAGAAGTCTAACTTTAAAAGCCTCTTCACACAAATTTACCTCCTTTAGATAACTCAACCCAACTCGGCCTTTATCTAATTAACACCCCACAGACATGCAATCAGCCACCAAGGTGCTATACAGGCACAATAAAACTGGTCAGAACAAACATTAAACAAGCACAACACATTAAGACAAGTAATCAGGGTTAAAACTAAAAGCTGATGAGAAATGTTCGTGGAAAAAGCATGCTGGATAGGTCCAAACCTCTTTCCTTCAGGTTCCCTCCAGAGTCTCAGAATCTCATGGTTGCAGAATACAGTAAAACACCGGACACAATAGAAACTGTCAAACATCCATAAACACAAATCTATCCTACGCTTTTAACCCGTTGTCAGCATTTTCTGCCATAGTTCCTGGATTCTCATGTCAGTTCTCTTGTTGGCTCTTCCTTCTTCCATCTCAGTAACGTTGCTAAGCTGAGTCCCATTCTGTCCCGCTCTGAACTTGAGACAGTTCTCCACACCTTCATCTCCTCACGCTTAGACTACTGCAACTCTCTTTTCACGTGTCTGAGCAGAACCTCCCTGAACCGTCTACAGGTGGTTCAGAACGCCTGTGCTCGGCTTCTGACCAAGTCCTCCAAACACACCCACATCACCCCGCTTCTCCTCCAGCTTCACTGGCTGCCAGTCAACTTCAGGGTTCATTTCAAGATCCTGGTTCTGGTCTATAGGGCCTTACATGGACAAGCCCCATCTTACATTGGTGATCTTCTCAGTCAGTGGCGGCTCCAGAAATGTTTTTCTGCAGGTGCTATGAAGGAAGTGGTCATTGTTCTCTAAAACACCTTCAACACTTGCAGATACACATGCGTGCACAACACCTCAACAACACCTGAAACAATCATTAATATACATCATAAACACATACAGCCACACAGAAAACCATCTATAGTGTTGCAAGGTTAGCTAACGTTAGTGTTAGCACTTCCAGCGGCTAAACCCTGGACTGCTGCGGCGGTTGAGGGTTGACTCTCTTCATCCAGATCCGTAGGTGTTTGTGGGTCTGAGATCACTTCCAAACATTCATTCATTTCTGACTGAACCCGTGAAAACCGATCCGTTTTACCGCTAGCTCTACCTTTCACTCGTTTGCAGGTGGAAAATGAGGTCAAAGGTTAACATCCATTTCCTGTTTTGGTTTAAGTTTTTAATATCTATATGATAATTTACTGATTATTTTTGTTTAGTATGTTAAATATTATCACATCCACACGTTAAATTAAAATTAAATTATAAAAAAAATAATATCTAATATTTACTTGGGGGTGCAATGACTAATCCAGGGGTAGCTATAGCGCCCCCGGCGCCGCCACTGTTCTTAGTCCCTGAGGTCCAGTGATCAAATGGGCCATTCCCATCTGTACCGGGTCGGCCCGGGCCGGGTAGCCCCAGTCGGCCCCAGCCTGGCCCGGTTGATTCCACACATCCTTGTCTTAAGCCCATGTGGGCTGATTCTACCCACCAATCAGAGGCTTGCTCTAATGGAAGGTGTGAATGGGCTGATTCTACCCACCAATCAGAGGCTTGCTCTAATGGAAGGTGTGAATTTGCTGTCAGCAGTGGGCGTGTTGGCCCTGGTCGGCCTGAAGCAGTACCCCTCGGGAAGAGGGCCGAGAATGAGCCTTGGTTGGCCCGGGAAAATTCCAGGCCACCCAGATATGTAAACAACCTACGCTACCCGGCCCGGGCCGACCCGGTACAGGTGGGAATGGGGCTAAAGCCTACTGGTTGTGCAGCACCAGGCTAAAGACCAAAGGTGACAGATCATCTGCTGCTGTGGTCCCCAGACTCTGGACCTCTCTCTATGAGGCCAGAACAGTCTCAATAAGAATTAAGTCACACAACGTTTTCCACAAATGCACACGTTCATTCGGAAATCCACATTCTGTGTTTCACAAATATAATTCGGAGGAACACAAATGCACACGCTCATTCGGAAATTCACACTCTTTGACTCATAAATATAATGTGAAAAAATAAGTCACGCAACATTTTCCACAAATGCACATGCTAATTCTGAAGTTCACACTCTGTGGTTCACAAATATAATTTGTAAGAACACTTGTAATATAAACTCAGATCGTACGAATTGCTGAACGTGCATTTACGAACAGCTTCTCATTTGTGAACCTTTCCGCGTTTGTGAGTGAAATCTGTGTGGTGCATTTACGAACAGCTTCTCATTTGTGAACCTTCCTGCATTCGTGAGAGAAATCGGTGTGCTGAATTTTGAGACTCTCCTAACGTCGCAGGTCAACAAACGTCACCATTGGCTAATGAACCTGTCAATCAAATATATGCTTCTGCCAGGGCTGTTCGCTTTCAGCCAATGGCTCCTTATGTTACAGAACAGATCTGCTGTGCGCATAAGTCGGACACAATTTCCTGCATGTGTAGCTCGGGGGTGACGATGGATGAAGATATCGCGTTAGCGTTCATACTTGTTCAATTTTCAATTTTAATTCTGGTGCCTGTTAGCAGCTGAAACACATCCTCACATGCTTGTGGATATCAAATATCGAATATGAAAACATGACTGTAATAATAAGTAAAGGTTAGCAGCTGTAGCTTCAGTGTGCTCATAGGAAACATGACAAAAGAACACAAATCACATTTCTCTTTATGGCCTATATAGTTGTCATCATCAACGTTACATGATTTACAGAATACATGTGACCAACTAACATTTCATGTTCTACCACCAGATGATTGGATCAAAATATGAACCAATCAGATCTTAGATCAGGTGAGAGCCAGGCGTTTCCCGTCATCCCCTAGGTTTAGCAGCCGAGGGAGAGCAACTGCAGCGCCTTGCTCCAAAATCTGCGGCCGCCTTGATCTCAAGTGGTTATCGTTGCCTACGTATGCATGACGTCAGAGCAAGTCGGCATCAAGTCGGACACAAATCTAACCGGTTACATTACCAACGCTCCACCATATGGGTGGCCTCTTAATAATCTTATTCAGAAAAATTATGCATTTTTACTAAGTGAAAGCAAACCCCGTTAGGGGCAGAGACCTCTTGAAGCTCATATTAAACATTGTTTGCAGAGAAGGTAAGAGAAGCTAGTAAATCATCAGGCCTATTCCATGGGAGTGACTCTGAAAAGGAGCAAAAGCTCCAGCTCTTTATCTTGGCAGGTGTCTCTATTCTCCTGTGTTCAGGCTTTTGGTTACATCAGTTACTTTTCCTTTTAATGAGCTGCATATATTTCTAACACAGCCTTCAGTGACATCAAGAAAAAAAAATAACTTTTTAACTCTAAAAGACATTATTCTCATTCTGAGAACAAATGAACAAACTGTGTGTGGGTATGTGTGTCCAGTTGCAACTTAACACAGACTCAGAAGCATAGAGAATCTTCTCACAACACCTAATCATCCCTTGATCAAAAAACCAGTAGATAGAATCTTGTCATGTTATTCCATTTAATAAGTAGACGGACGGAGGTATAGTACAAGTTTTCAAGTGTAATGAAGATGATCGCAGGGTAACACAGTTCCCCTTAAATGTTGAGCAAAAGTTATGAAACGAGACAAAATTCAAACAATAACATGTAAAAATAAATGGATCTCCTGATAAGTAGGTGCTTCACCTTTAAATGTTTTTATTAGAGCTGGATACACAGGAAGATGCATGTTACTAAACCAACACTAGCAATGATAGCACATTTACATTTTGAAGAATTGTAGCATAGATGAAGTGAACAGCAGCCTTTTCAAATACATTCCTGGTCTAAAATAAATCAGGCTGACAAAGACTTTAAGGAAATACACAACTATAAATGAATTTAGACATCTATTTTGGGGTCTATCCTTTAGCATTTCATATTTACGACGGCAAATCCCTTGAATAACAATATACAGAATATTAACCTTAAAATGGACCACTCCTTCACTTTTAACTTTCTTCCTTCCTGTCTCATTAATTATTTTTCTTTCTTCCTAACTCCCTACCTTCTCTCTCCTTCCTTCTTCACACATGTAATCATCTAGCCTCAAGTAAGTTCTCAACATACTGGACAGTGTGAAGCTGTGTCCACTCCCAAAAGAGTCTGAATGTTGCAACGGATTAATGTTGTCCTGCAGTTCCAACATTTCATGATCTGAAAGAGGACTGTCCAGTACAGGGACACTGATCCCAGGATGAGGTTAAGTCATGTATCCGTTCTCCTCCCATTCAATCTCTGGTGTCGGTATACCCTGGAAAAAGAAAGTGTGTATGAGCATTGTGCATAATGAATCTCAAGAAAACACATTTAATAAAGCCCTATCATGACCTTTTAACAATTACTTAACATCAATGATGTCAGGCAGAACCTAGCATCTCCATTATTTCATAAATTATTATTATTTTTTTAAATTAATGGGCAAATTTTATGTTAAAACAGCAGTGAGAATATCACATCTGGAAGGTCTAATGCCTTGCATTTTGAACTTGCAGATGCGTCATGACTTTGTAATGTCATGACATTATAGTTGACAGTGTCCACTTCAGTAGAGGTGCACACAAACAGAACCGTAATTTCAACAGCCATTTTGTCTTGAATCCAAGAAGCATAGAGCAGAGGTAGATTATCAAAGTGTTGAACATTTGATTTATAGTTAAGGATCAACTTGACATGTGATCAATCATTTTAACAGAACATACATTTGCCCCTGGATCAGAAACAGGATTCAGAGCCTGGCCCAGATGCCACAGCTGATTTGGTGTCATGTTTTCCTCTGTCCTGATTGGATGGTTGTCCCACGCATCTCTAAAGACATCCAGGCTGGCCTGGATGCGAGACAAGAAAATATAGTGGCAACAAAACATGTGAAGGATGTTACTGATGTCGAGCAAGTCTTGGTCTTCCAGAGAGTGCAGGATGTTGTAATATAGACCAGTAACACTCATGAAGACATCACGCCACAGGCGCTCGATCCTGGATTTGGAGGGGGATTAAATAAAAGAAAATTATAATATACACACAAATTTACATGTCCATACATCCGTTTTCAACTTGAGTTATCTTTTGAATGGTCGCAGGAGGACTGGTGCCTATCTCTAGCAGTCAAAGTGTGAGACGAAGGGTACACCCTGGGCACGTCAACAGGCACAGGCACGCGCGCACAGACACAAAGCTTCCAAATTAGGTTAAACTCACCGTTGATTGTGTACACTTTTTCCTGCAATGAAGCTGTTGGTGTCAGTTCCACGAACTGAGAACATTAATTCTGCAACACCTACATTTTCTCCGCCATGATCTCCTCTCACCATGAAAAAAAAAAACATTAGAATCTTGCTTCAAACATTTTTAATGCACATCTATAACAATCTACATCAATTTGAGTCTCACAGAAATTTCCTTATGTACCTTGCTACTAAGTGAGTAAACAATAAACAATGTGGCATTATTAACCCTCTGCTGGGGAAATTTTTTTTGAAAGAGGGAAATGTTCACCCCCCCCCCCCCCACCCCCCCCATAGATTTTACTATATGACCTCAAATGGCATGTTATCTTTGGTCAATAACACACTTTAGGCAAAAGCAGATTTGTAACAGGGTAACAGAGGGTAAAGTTGAGAATAACATGAATACCTCAGAGGAAAGCCATGCTCATTCACAGCTTCACTGAAGAAGGCAAGGTGGGTGTCTGCTCGGTTGTTGTCAGCTACCTTCAGGTACATGATCTATGTAATTCAAGCACAAACACTCTCATATGACACATTTTTATAGGGGTCAAAACAATCAATTACCAAATGAAAGGTACAACAGCCATACAATAACATGTTAGATAATTAAATAAGTTAAGACCTGTGAAAACCAAAAATAGCAATTATCTTCTATGAAAATATCTCAGTTATTAACGTTCATGCTTTGGAGCAGAAAAAGTGCATGGCAATTAAATATTACAAGCTCAGTTCGCTCCACTCTGATGGTCACCTGTTCCAGCCAGATACCTTCTTTCTAGGCGTTCAAAGTCGGAAACTCGCTGAGTAAACTGGGTGCTTAGAGGAGTATCTTCAGTTGTTTAAGACTGAGGGTAACGCTGCACAGCTGATTCGACTAGCATGGATGCTAATGATGTAAACATAAAAGAGGGCTTGCTTCGTCTCGCGCGCTAACGCCGCAAAGCACTATGGGATTAGTAGTCTTATTAGCGAAATCGCCCGGCGGGCCAGTTTAATATTATATATTTGATATTTGATTTCGCGGGGCAAATAAAAATAGACCAAGGCCTTGAGTTTGACAACCGTCGCCTAAAAAAATGGTACCTAGATATGCTAACTAAACAAATGTTCACTTGAGTTTAGCTTGATGTTAAACTAGATGAAGAATGGACCAGACTTCACGTAACGTCTGGACTGAATTTAACATAAAACATTTTACTTGATCATGAAGAACGCTTCTACTCATAATTCTATAACATTGCATCAATTACAACGAGGGAATAAGATAAAACTATTACTCACAGATCGTGACCGGTCCATCCTGCTCTGCCGTGTGAACTGCAATGCGCATGCGCACAGCAGATCTGTTCTGTGACATAAGGACCCATATGATTGGCTGAAAGCGAACAGCCCTGGCAGAAGCATATATTTGATTGACAGGTTCATTAGCCAATGGTGACGTTTGTTGACCTGCGACGTTAGGAGAGTCTCAAAATTCAGCACACCGATTTCTCTCACGAATGCAGGAAGGTTCACAAATGAGAAGCTGTTCGTGAATGCACCACACAGATTTCACTCACAAACGCGGAAAGGTTCACAAATGAGAAGCTGTTCGTAAATGCACGTTCAGCAATTCGTACGATCTGAGTTTATATTACAAGTGTTCTTACAAATTATATTTGTGAACCACAGAGTGTGAACTTCAGAATTAGCATGTGCATTTGTGGAAAATGTTGCGTGACTTATTTTTTCACATTATATTTATGAGTCAAAGAGTGTGAATTTCCGAATGAGCGTGTGCATTTGTGTTCCTCCGAATTATATTTGTGAAACACAGAATGTGGATTTCCGAATGAACGTGTGCATTTGTGGAAAACGTTGTGTGACTTAATTCTTATTGAGACTGTTCTGGCCTCATATCTGGCTGAGAATGAGCCTTGGTTGGCCCGGGAAAATTCCAGGCCACCCAGATATGTAAACAACCTACGCTACCCGGCCCGGGCCGACCCGGTACAGGTGGGAATGGGGCTAAAGCCTACTGGTTGTGCAGCACCAGGCTAAAGACCAAAGGTGACAGATCATCTGCTGCTGTGGTCCCCAGACTCTGGACCTCTCTCCCCCTGAGCCTGAGATCAGTGGACTCAGTGGTCTCCTTTAAAAAGCAGCTGAAGACTCACTTGTTCAGGCGTTGGTGTGACCTTCATCACCCTCTCCCTATTCTGCTCCTTCAACCTTTTCCACCTTTCCTGCGATCCACTGATTTCCCTCTTTCCTATTTATTTTCTCTCTCCCTTTCCTTACATTTAAAAAAATTCTCATTTTAAACATATTTTTTATCATTTTGTAAAAAATTTTTAGTCTTTAATTATTGTTATTATTCTTTTTGTGCAGCGTCTCGTGATTTGTATTTTAAGAGGCGCTATAGAAATGATATTTTCTTTCTTTTAATGTGACGTGCCTACATAACATAACGATTTAGCATGCTAGCTACGACTGTTTTCATGATGAAAACGAGGCCGTTTGTAGCCTTCCTGATTCTTCAGAACTGCAAAATAACAGCAGATCACCACCACCAACAATCTGGGGAAGCCCGATCCGAACCTTCTCCTACACGTCTCTCTTCTCGGACAGTTTCCCAATCACAAGCATGAGTTGCCATGGCAACAAACTGACGACAAATGGCCAGCTGCGTTAACCTGCAACAAGTTCATCGCCTTAAAGTTTCCTAACAAGAACAGAACCAGGCTCTAAACACAATGTGTAAAACAAGAAATGTGCAAATAATAAACAGGATGGAACACTTGACAGCCCGGCTCTGGCTTCACTTCCTGTTTGGCTGCTCCGAGACAAGAACATGCGATTCGTGCACAGAGAGGGGAGGGATGGACACAGGGCAGTTTAATGGATGGATCCGGATCCAGTCATTAAAAACGAGACCTTCACACTGATTGTAGGAGGTTTTTCTAGGATTAAACATTTTAGAGGCGACCAAAGTTACTCATGTTTTTGACAAAACATTAGGTCGCCATCCATATGTGAAGAGCATTTCAAGTAAAATGGCTAAATCTGCTCCAGAAAGTCAAATCAAATCAAAGATACTTTATTAATCCCAGAGGGAAATTAGAGTTTCAGTACACACAATTCAGAGATCAGACATACATGGGCAAGACACATGACAAGAATTGGTGACTGTGGTCATTCGCAACCCTGAGTCGCGCTACCTTAATAGAGATCAGAGGGTTACATGAGGATTGGTTCAGGTGGAGGGAAAAAAAGGCACTTCAGAGTTACCCTCCAGCAGAAGGGCAGCTTTGCTCTGCAAAAAAAAAAACACCTCAGACAGATATGCAACAGACTTCAGACAACACAACATAAGTGTCCACTAGGTGGGGTGGTGGGTTGGGACTATCCACACTTCAGTTCCTGCAGCCACAATAAGCAGCGCATGTCACCTCAGTGTGGGTAGGGGGCGAAATATTGAGGGTTGGAGGGTTGCAGTGACTCTGGAACGTTTCAGCGGCCTCCCCGCAGTCCCGCCCAGGCTGGGATAGGAGACAGAGTTGAGTTGCCATAGCAACGGCACATTCCACATATCTTCAGAGGGGGGAGTTTTCTTTGGAGCCTTGCAGGCTCAAGGGCACCAGATTCCGATTAGAAATTCCTCTCTGTCTTACAGTTTGTTGGTCCTCAACCTCTCAAAATCCCAATAATGGACATTAATCTATCCCAATCCGTGCTGATTCGTCCACTCTGTCCTTGATGGCATCCATCTTTTGTGCCAATAATGAATCTCGGCCAAAGTTCCAAGCTTTCGATTCATCTCGACATCTATGTGAGTCTGTGAATTCACAGCGCGGTGTAATCCATCTCTGAGCTCCGGGATCAGGCCAATATTCCTCGACAGCTCGTTAATTTTCCGGTAAGCCAGGAAGCCTCCAAGGCCAATGAGCAGGAAACCTGACACCAACACCACGAATATCCACACGTCTTCAGAGTCCTCCACAGACAGCTGGTCTGTCCCGGCGGGGCATCCGGGAGCCCCTTCTCCCATTCTCATCGTTGAAATAATGGTATCAATCGCGTTGAGAGACCAGCTGACGAGATCCATTTTAGTGATTTCAGTTTCCAGTTTCCAGAAAAATGCAGAAGCAGCTGTGCACCCACAGACAGAGAAAGGGGAACAAAAACATCTGCCATTGCAACTTTAAAGGACTGGAATAGTCTAAACCTCTTGTTTGTGTTTTACCCGTGCGTCTCCAGATTTTGGGTTCATGTTTGAAAGTTCTCCTGGCGGAAACCTCGGCTGGGAGCCAGATATCAAGCTTACCGACGAGATGGTGATGATTATGGGCGGGAAAATGGAGGCAACGCCTTTCAAGTGGTTCACAGAGATGTGTGTGAGAGGATACCTGGCTGTGAGGTGAGTTCTCAAAGACCAACGTAGCCGTTAGCTACATGGTGAGATGGTAGTAATGTGTTCCTGTGGTGAATCAGGCCCTACATGGACGCCGTGGTCTCCCTGGTGAATCTAATGCTGGACACGGGTCTTCCCTGCTTCAGGGGTCAAACCATCAAACTTCTCAAGTCAGTCTTGGGTTTTTGTGCTTCTTTGAGATAAAAAAGCCATTTTTTAACTGTCATTAGTTGATGTTGCTTCTGTTGTTCTCTCTCCGCCTTAGGCAGCGGTTTAACCCGGGTTTGAGTGAAAAAGATGCAGCTTCCTTCATCATTAAAGTCATCCAGAACTGCTTCCTCAGCAACAGGTTGGTCTAACTGATGATTCCATCAGAAGGCTGAATTCCAGAAGTCTTTTGTCTGATTTTATCCTTTTTTCTTCTTCAACAGGAGTCGAACCTACGACATAATCCAGTACTACCAAAATCAGATCCCATACTGAACGCCTGTGCCTAAGCATGTGCATTTGTTGACTTGTACATGATTTGCGCGGCACCTTTTGTTTGATTCACGCCAGAAGATCGTGACTTAACATTTCTGCTGATTATTAATTATTGTTTGTTTTTGCTTTAGACTCCTTTATTTATTCCATTGGAACTAACAGTGTTGCTAATTCTGAAAGCATTGCACTAGCGTACCGACTGCATCTGTGTAATTAAGAGTGATAACTCTTGGTAATCTGCACGTTTCCGTAGATACTTTATCGGTTTGTGCCAATTTTATCAGTGATGTTTGTGAATGTGGATTCGGTTAAATGGGGTCTAGGTGGATCGTAGCGGACTGGTTTCGGTTCTGACCTTTGTGGCCTACTCTCTCATCTTTTACTTGACTGCACTACTGTGCTTCTCCTTTTGAATGGACCAGTCGGAGTGCTTTGGTTCTCCGTGCATATTGTACAGTGAGATTCGACTGTATAGAAACGGGTTGCACTCTGTTTATTTCAGAGTTTTCATATTTCCAGTCTCAACGGGAGAAATTGTGAGCACGAGTTCTGGGAAATGCTGAAGTTTTGTAGATTTAATAATGCGGGAGGGGGGGTTGCACTTAAATGAAGGATGGAGTGAAAGTAAATTTTAAATGTCGGTTCGTTGCATGAAGTGAAATGTTAAACACCATGTAGCTTGTTTCTGATGTAATTCAAAGTGCAGTGCCATCATGTCACTATGGCTGTTTATGGCTGTAAAGTTTATATTTATACTCATGGTCCATTTCCTCTCCTTTTCTATTTTCAGGCCTTTTTGAATGAGAAACCATAAGACGTTAAATCAAATAAAGTTATTAACCAGGCATGTGTATTTTTGAAATTCTGGCGATACGATACTTATCACGATACAGGGGAGACGATACGATATATCGCGATACATTCAGTCAGACGTTACAGGCAATTTTTTTTTTACCAAATTTATTGTAAGAATGTTCAATAAACAGTCCAAACTGATACGTAACATGTTTAACATGAGGAATCTGAACCATGATGGAGGGATTTACATTTCAATGGTGGAAACAAAACCTGTTGCACACTGCTGCCAACTAGCGGGTGGCGATTGAATTGCACAAAGCAAAAAGAAAATACACAAATGTTTGCATGGAAATTCTTTCAAGAATTAGATACACGGCTTTTGAATATCGATGTTATAATCGCAGGAAAAAAAATCACGATATCGATATTTTCTTACATCCCTATTATTAACTTAAAGGTTTTTTGTCTGTATTTGAGGACAATTGCAAACATAATGTGGATTAAAGCACACGCCTGGAGGGATGTTATCTATTATCAGTTTTGATGGGAGACTCGTTTTGCTGATGGAACTTCTCATAGAAGTTCTTGCGTATTTCAGCACCACAACGTCATACCGCTGACTCCATGACGACAGGCTTTTGCAAAAAATAAATAAAAAAAATACACTTCTTAAACCTTTTTTGAATTTCATTAACTAATAAAAAGACTAAAAGCTGACTGAATCATTTGTCTCACAGTAGCTTATTCATGGAAAATATTTGCCATTAACTGTCCGCTATTTGATTTTTAAGGGTGTTTCCACATCTTTGTAGAACAAATTAGTATTAATTTAGTTGGTTTTGCTTCACGCTGACGTAAAAATAAAAGTAGATGCAATAATGGGAGGAAGAGGACAGTTTATTCTTTCCTGAGACAAAAACTGTAGTTAGGTTAAAGATTCTGAGTTTATAAACCGATTCATTTGTGGTAAAACCATCCTGCCATGTTGATTTTGTCCACCAGAGGGCAGCATTTACCACATCTAATGAGAGTTAGCTCCATGTTTTTAGATGACAAAAGAAATGCTTTTAGTCATATGTTCAGTTCCCAGTCTGATGTGACTGTATTCATCCTCGTGCTTTATTGTTGCAGGTCTCAGAGGGTAAAAAGTGATGTAAACAAACATGAAACATCTCAACTTGTTTGTTCATGCCAGGATGATAAAACTACGTGGGTTTGGAGGATGTTTAAATGGGCGCTGACGTGTTGATTGAAACATTCTGGTTAAAAACACGTTTTGTTGAGAAGCAGACCAGCTCTTAGCACACTGGCTTGTTCTTTGTTTTCATAGTCGTGTTAATTAACCCATTACATCTGTTTGTGCTTGGCCTGCGGTCACCAGCCTGTCCTGATGCGGCTTTGCCTTCATTTTTGGTCCAACTCCCACCAACAACCATTCTGCAGCAGAGGAAACCTCCTGAGACCCTTTTCACCTTTGCTGGTAAGTTTCATACATTTTGTGACCAAATATTACCAACACGTGAATAACCGGGGGAGAAAAAAACACTAGACCTGGTTTATACAAACATCAGGGACCCTTAAAGCTTCAGCCCCCTCCCCTCGTGTTGGTGACCACCTGGCTGTTGTGCTCATATGTCATCTGTTGTCATCCTCGTCATCTGTGGCAGGGCTTTAGGCCGACTGCATACTGGACAACCAGCTCTACAGAGGACGCTGTCTCCATCAAGCTCTCTTACTTTATCACTGAACACCTACACCAGCGCTCTTGCACCGCAGCTTGGTTAAAAAGTGAATCTGCACTATTTTCACCATAAATTATGCTGCTGTGGAGAGGATCTGCAGTGTAAAGTTCCTGATTGTGCAAAACGTCTGGAAGGCAGGACACCCATCATGTCCCATTTTCGAGAGAACATCATGACGCTGAATTGTTGGGTCACCTGACCAGCCAGCCATGTTCATAATCAAAAGAATGAACACATTTCCGTGGAGCCTCTCAAGATAAAGTTCATGTGCCGCTTAAGAACATTTTTAAAACTGTAGATGCCCCAGCACAGAACCTTGTGGGACACCATCAGCGAGGGAATGGGAGGGGGAACAAAACTGGAAGACAACCACAAAGAGGGAACGCTCGGACAATGTCCCTCACCACCCCTCTCATGATGTGATGTCTGAAGAGAGGTACAGGAGTATTGGCTGAAGAACCAGGATGCTGAACGAGCTGTGAGACTGAACACACTATATACCATCTCCCCATCAGACAGTAAACCCCTCCCATCAAGAAAATCCCCACACAGTCAGTTTAACCTATCTCTGGCATAACTGCTGCTCAATGAGTGTTTGTAGTCATATGCCGCCATGTGTCGAGCTGCTGTTCTTGTTTTATTTTTGGTCATTCAGGAAGCTATCTATAAAGATCAAGACCATCACACAGAAACATTAAAAATGGCTAAAATATCCCTTTATTGTGTCCAGACTTAAGGCAAACATGTTTATGTTTATTCATTTAGCAGACGCTTTTACCCAAAGTTACTTACAATTTACAACCTATAGGGCGTGTTGTGATCTGTGGGGGAAACCGGAGTACCCGGAGGAAACCCACGCATGCATGGGGAGAACACGCAACTCCACACAGAAAGGCCGCAGCCGAGTTTCGAACCTGCAACCTTCGTGCTGCGAGGCAACAGTGCTAACCACTGCGCCACCGTGCAGCCAACATGTATTTAGTTTGTATTCTTGTTTTAAATCATTTTGTTTTATTCTTACGACAGTGATGTGTCATGAAGTTTTTAATGAGTGCATGTAGTAAAAAAATAATGCATTAAAGGAGACGTAGAAACACAAAGAACTGACAGAAATGATGAAAGAAAAATGTATTTTCTTACACAGCAGCTCAACATAGATATAAATAACAGCCATAATTATAGTTCTTACTGAGAAATATTTATTTACTTTATTCCAACTTTAGCATTTCCTCCACATTTAACCCACAAGAAAATCCTGGAGGAGGTGAAGATGGAATCAAAGTTGAGGAGACATCCTGGGATCATGAGAAACAGACGTTCCATGTGTCCTCCTGCATCACATGCATCAAACTTCAGGGCATCTTGTGACACATCCATGCCCCTTCGGATGGGGCAGCCGTGGACCAGTGTGCCAGCCATGTGCTGTGCAATAATTAACTCTGCTCTGGACCGTTCCAACCATTAAAAGCCGTGAGGAGCGGAGCCGAGTAGAAAGAGCTGTTTGTTGGAAGGATCTGAGCAGACAGTTGGGCCCATTGATGAGAGGGAACAGAGGCTGTTCCCTGAACAGCTGTGTGGATGTGGTGTGTTTATGGAGGAAAACGTAGCAGCCCTTCTATTGAAGTCTCACCGGAGCATCCTTATGGTAGAGCTGGAACTTTGGCCTGTGAATATCTGAATCTTTATGTTTTGTTTGCCGTGCGCGAAGCGGCTATGCCTGCAAATGACTCGAACAGAAAAAAGAACTTTATCTGTGACCCGAGAGCTGAGCGGTCACGGTGCATACCAAATGGGAGCAGATGCCCTCCAGCAGTGAATCTCTGGTTCAATTCCTGGTTGAATAGATCTTTATTACACGCCATCCTTCACGTTTCCTGCTTCTCTCCACTAAAGGTGGAAACGTGTCGGAATGAATCTCTTCAGGAAATAGAGTCAAACTGATTTCATGTGCTGTGAAAATGTATTTGCCTCCTTTGCAGATTTCTTCTGTTTTTTTTATTTTTTACATTTTTGATCATGCTTAGATGCGTCACATGAACAAACACATTTCTAGATCAGGCAACAAAAAACGTGAGTACATTTAAAATGTAGTTTTCAAGTGAAGATTTCAATTATGAAGGAACATCCTGGTTCTTTATGAAAATCTAGTCGTTCTTGATTGGAATAAAAATAAAGTGCCGGTAGGTTCAAATATCTCTAAAAGCTTATCAATAAGCCTCATTCTGAGGAAAAGTATAGTGTCCCCAAATATGTGCTGTGCCCGCTAAGAATCGTAATGAAAGCATTTAAAATAAATACCATACACAGTTGAGGAAACGTTGGTTTAAGTACCTGATATGAAGCGGTCGCTGCATAAGTGAAATCCTTTACTCTCGGGATCCCACAGCTTCATTTTAGCCCGGTCACTAGCGCGTTTTATTACAATGATCCAACCTGTGCGTCGCTCCGGATCTTGGGGAATCCTGTAGATGGCTCATTCCTTATGTCGTCCGCGTCTGTTCTGCATCCTGGGGCACAACAGGAATCTACCATATTTCCCGTTTGAGTTTTCTGACAATAACAAATAGCCCAGCTGCCGGCTTCTGCCTGCCAAGATGGCGCCGTTTCGATTTGAACTGTTGCATGCCGGGAGAAGTGACGTCAACTCCCGGAGAGGTACACTGTGATGTTAGCTGGTTCATTATGATGTCACAATGTCATTGTGAGCCTGTGTGTGTGTATTTGTTTACAGCTTCGCCCTCTTGGTCTGACAGGCAACAGCATAACAGGAAGTGGGAGTGGAGTAAGATTCTGGTAGGGGTGACCTACTCTTTAAGTTTATGGGTCAATAAATTTTTGTTTTGTAGACAAAAGAGAGAAAATAACTTAAAAGGGGACATATTTTACTTTTTTCACAAGTTATTGTTCTATGGTCGATGCAAACATGTTTATAAAGTTCTTTTCACTAATTCCCTCCCACATGAAACAGTTTTAGCAGTTTTATTCCTGACAGTTTCAGTAACTTCCAGAATGAGCCGTTTCAGCTGAGAAGCTCCGATATCTGGGAGGCACTCTGAGTAGAGCTGCTGCTCCTCCAGCAATAGCGCTCTTCTTCATGAGAGAGGTTTTTATGTGCTAACTTTCCCATTTGTGACATCACAAATGAGAAAATTTTCAAGCTACTTATTTTAGACACATTATTCCTAAACCCAAACATAGACAGAAAATTAATAGATGTTTCTTTCTTCCACATCTGGAGTGTTCAGAGAGGCAGTCGTCCCACACGGGACCACACAAGGATGTAAATGATGAGATTTGCATGATAT